TTGGAGGCCATCGCAATTGGGTTGGAGGCCATCGCTAGTAGGTTGGAGGCCTTCGCTGGTAAGCCCAGTATTCTGCCCTTTCAGCGTTCAATGCGTTGTTGTGGCAGTTTTGAGGTATCAAGAGGAGACCAAGGAGAACACACCGTCGAACATGAGGCCCGAGATTAACGTCAGAAGCGCTTCACAGTGGCACGACGCGGCACAGCTGATGTCTATTCTGTTTTTTTTCCCTAGTAGTAGCTTCTGTTGTTACTAGTAGCTTCTTGTTCCTAGTAAGGCCAGGAGCCCCTAGTATTAGTAGCGTCCTTGAACCTAGTAGAAATGCCCTTTGTTACTAGTAACTTCTTGGATGGTACTGTGAGGTTTGTCCTGGATGAGATGACAGAAGGTGTGAAGGTGGCTTTGTGACTTTTTGCTTGTCGCCGCGTCTTTGAATGCATCCTCAACTTGGCAGGCCTGCACAGCAATTTGGCACGTAGAGGCAGGAATTCAGCTTCTGAGGTTCTATACCATTCCTAATTTGGCTTTTGGAATAGAACTTGCAAAGTACATCATTACACATGTCCATGTTTGGGGTCATTATGGGTACGGGACATGGTCAATTTGTTTTGTGCCCAAACAGCCTTCCTGGCCAGTTCAACACTCGCCTATCGCCACGCGGTGTGACCTACTACGAACTTAACAACGAGGGCAAGGCCATGCTATAGCTCACCTCTGAACATTTGGACACTAGCGTCAATCGAGTCAATCTTGAGAAGCTTCGGAGAGTGATGAATTCAGCAATCACAGTTGTAACTTTGTTTGAAGTGTTTGTTAGCAGTGTGTTGTTGCCATGCTTAGATGATAACTTGACAACAAACACATATAATTTCAGTCAGTTGCCGCGATTGCAGTCCAGGTGTGCTATGTTAGATCTGCCTACGACATCAGTTTCTAAGGAGCAGTTTGCTTCTGTTTCTCTTGCCAAATTCCACTTCGTTGATGATGAATGCAAGAAGCAGGACGAGCTTGGATTCCCGCATGCAAGCCACTCTTGGTCTCTTTCACTCGAGTTTTCACCACGTTGATCGAAGAAAGTGCTAGCTTGTGCCAGAAAAGCACGGGTGACCTCCAAAGTTCTCAGCTGCATGCAGACATGTGTGCCATCAACCATGCTTTCTGCATCCGACCGGCATCAGCCATTTAAGCTGAAGCTGCTTGTACTTGCTCGGTATGACAAGCCGCACTTGCAGCCATGTGGACAGAGCAAGGCATTCTGCAAGCTTTGAAGGTCGTTCTATTCAAAGCTAGCCAGCAACCGGCACTTGACCTATTCCATTATCCGACACATTCACGCAGAAGTGGCACTTCCTATTTGTTGACCTACTCGGTTACTTTGCTGGGCAGCGTTTGTGTGATGGAGCCTCCAGCGAAGAGGAGCCGAGAGGATCCTCAAAGGCCCGTGAGCAAGATAGCACAATATCGAGCAGGATTGAAGGTCAAGGCAGTCAAGGCAGTGCTATGCTTCAAATGTGCGAAAGGCAGAACCGCAAGATATTTTTGTTCATGTTTTTTGCACTTGCACTTCACGAATCCAGGGCACGGGTGGTTCTTTGTGGAGCTGGCTCTTGGGCACAAGGTTGGCACCTGCCACAGCTGCAGAGACACATGGCCAAAGCCACACGTCTAAAGACTTAAAGATCCTGAGCAGTTGCTCCACTAAGGCAGAACTACAAAACAACTTCTGAGGTAGAACTCTCACTTATTCAAGCAGCATTGTGGTTGTAACAAGAGGTTTGAAATTGTTGTTGGTGATTCTGACTCATGGGCAGGTTGCCCATAGTTGCCCTGCGTTCTAGGTATGTAGACACCAATCTGTTGCAGTTCTGGGCAAAACGCATGCAAGGTGCAACACTCTGTTCGCGTTTCAAGGAGATCCCTCAGTGGAGCTTGTGGCGATTGTCGATCCAGCTACATCAACATGGAGCAAATACAATCTAGACATGAAGCCGACCAAAGAGCTGGCTGAAATGTACGAGGTGCAGCATGCAGGGTTCTGGATGGATGGAGAGAGAGCGAGAGAGAGAGAGAGAGAGAGAGCGCGCATGTTGCAAGGTGTGGCAAGGCCGCTGAATATGTCGTACGTAGTTTGTCCAAAAGCAACCTCCCATACTAGGTCGATCGGATCCCAGGTTCCTGTCTTCCAAGACTTCGCTGAGTTCCTCAGATCTAGTCTTGCTCAAAGAACTGATGGGGTGATTATTTCGTCAACTCACACCACGCACTGCAGCCTAGGACCGTCTCTGAGAGAGTGAGTAGAGAGTTCGTCGTTGCCGAACAGTGTAGAACATCACACTGGCTTAAGCGCTTCAGATGTAACAACTTCCATATATATATATATATCTCATACATTGACATGTGCACAAACATACACCCCCCCCATATTCTTTCAGACCTTGTCCAGACCTTCTTTCAGTGGTGTCTGAAGTGAAGACTAACACCAGGACTGCAGGCAGCAGAGGCGAAATTGCACATTTTCATGGAAAAGCCCATGACCACGAGCTCGATTGAAGCTCGCAAGCTGCTTTGTGCGGCCAAAGACCTGTGTCTCAACTGCAGGGGGACTGGTGGTTCTCAAGTTTCTGTCCCGTTTCCAAGCTGTAGGGAGTCAAGATATGTCAAGGTATAGACAGGTCCGAATTTCAGCATGTATATGCGCGCAATTATTGGGTGACTTTGTTTGACAAGACAGACACAGGATCCCAGCAGGATCGAATTTGTGAACTTCATCAGCTGGACAATGCTTAGTGTCTCAAGTGGTAGCAAACCTCTGCGAAGGAAGTCTCTGGGCAAAGTTTTCATGGTGACGCTTGGCTCAGTCTTAGCACCTCTCTGCTACGTTTCCCAAAACACTCGACCTTGCAGAAACATGGCGTCGCTTCATGGCAATGGCATGCCATTGCCACACCTCGAAGGAACCATTCTGCCAACTTCACAAACCAAGCCTTACGAGCTCGAGAAATCCTTCGTGCAGGGAAAATCGGAGAAGTTGAGCACGTCACTTGCCACTCGATGCTACGTGTGCTTTGCTTTCGTGTTTTCTGCTTTGCTTGACAAGTACCGCGGTGCAGGCTGTTCCATGATGAGTAGCAAAATTCATAAAACTCATTATCTAGATTGCAAGTGTGACACTTGCACACTCAATACTGGGATCTTGTATGATCTTGTGCACAATCCGACTTGTCAATTTGTCCAATTCTAAACAACTCGGTTTCTGACCAAGGCCACATGATCCGTGAGCGCGAATTCTTCGAAGATCTGCAAAACCAACTCTGGGTTTGCAGCTCTGAAGGATCTGCTGCTGGAAACGGGTCGCTGAATGACATGGAGCTTACTTTTGCAATCTGTTATTCTTCAGGAACATGCTGCTTTCTTTACCTTAAGGCAAGAAAGAATACCTGAGGATACTGAGTAGTTCCACCACTCAGGTTTGCGTGGGGCCAAAGCTGCCACACATTGGCATGGGTGCCTCCGTGCAAGCATGTAAAGACAGAGACAGTTTCTTTTAAGCTTGTTGAGTAGTGATGAATGTTTCTGATTGGTCTATTGCCAACCCTGAGCCTATGCCACGGTTGCTTGCTGAAAGCCAAGGTTTACTTTGTCACTGGCTTGATTCCTCAGAGTGTTTTTTGCAAGATGGTTTACTCCAAGAAGACTGGTGCTGACATATTCACTTCAGCTATCATCGAATGTACGAATGGAGCTACGATACTTGGCAAGGTTTTGCTTTTGTGATGCTGTACTTGTGAGTTATGGAGACCGCATCAGAGCTCTCCGGATGCTCACCGTCTGCTGGAACCTGAAGCTATCAAGTCTTAGTTTCCAGCGGTATTCTCAGGGCCTGGTTGGACGATTTCAGCCCTTCAACCTGGGTGATCCGAGGATTACTTGCCAAGGCCTTGCAGGCCTGCCTGGTGGAAACTCTGTGGGTTCGGCCTCTGCAACGGGACACTCAGCTGGTTCTTGTAATTAGCGTAATCCACACGATGCAGCATCATTGGAGGTGACAGACTGCTTTTTGCTTTCTTAAACAAAGTATGGGCATGCCTGGCTGTCCCTCCATTTTCAGGCTGTTTCTCAATCTCAGTAGAATCCAGTGACAGCTGCTGTGTGGGTTGAGGAAAGTTGATCGAGAACAAGCCACTTGACAGCAATGCACAGTATTTCAATTAGTCTATTTGTTTTGTGTTTTTCTGTCATGGCTAGCAACTGCCACCAAACCAAATAGCAATGGCCTCCAACCTAATTGCGATGGCCTCCAACCTACTAGCGATGGCCTTCAACCTACTATCGATGCCGGATTTGTCCAGTGCATCACAGTTTGTGAACTTCACACTGGTCGAGCATGCTGTTGAGCATGCACTCGTCGAGCATGTTGAGCACGCATCATTTGCATGTTGCATTTCTCGGGTTGGGAACGAGAGCCGAGGATATTCGGATCCAAGGGTTGCTTGCTTTACAGTGGTGACGATGCAGATCCTGGCTCGGGCCAGCTGGAGGTGTGCAGCGATGGCTTCCACGAGGTGATGCCGGGGTTTTACTTTGAAAATACAACGATACAAGGCACAAATTATTTAGTCACTACTCTCCTCGGTTTGACATGCAGGCAGGTTTTTCAGATCCAGATGTCATTGACTATATCAAACGTCTTTATGTCGCGGTGCAGATTGCTGACCGTTGGACCCTCATACAACAGACATGTCCATCATGGCAGCAGCAAAGTGGCCTAGGAAAAACGTGTGCAAGCGCACAAGAAAGAGACCCCTATGTTTTGTGCGACTTTGTTCATTTTGTTCCTTGAACAATGCCCCGAACCCATTTTGCGGTTCAGATTCAACGTACGGCCTGTATGGGTTGTTTCTCAAAGTACTGGTTACTGGATCTTCCCACTCAATGATGTTTCCTTGTTTTTCTTTCGAGGCTGGTTCTGAAGGGCTATATACCTTTCCGAAAGAGTATCAATAGAATCAATTGGACAAGTTTCGGTTCAACATGTTTCCGAGGAAAGAAGGCTTTGGTCCAGAGTCCTTGCGCTGCTTTGGGGATGCTTGCCGTGGCAAGACAATAACAAATTGCTCTGATGCATGGCAAAGGAGAGGAACAGACGCTGCTGCTAAACAAGAATATCTAAAATACTGCTTTCAGGGGCAGCTGAAATTAAATCATTGAGCATTCATGTTCAAAATCGCATTCTGGGCTGAAATACACCACTATTTTTAACTTGAGACAGCACGAACTTTACCTTTATTCCATTGCAGTAAAGATACTAGGACTGCCTGGTGTATATTACTTACATTACATATTATGAGTTTATAACTATATAATATATAAGTATATTATATTGAGAGAAGCTTAATTTGACAAACTTGTTGGAAGTGTGTTAGGTAACTCTTGTGACTTGGGCGGAAAGCCCTCCGAGGATGCCTACGTGTCCCTGCAAGTTGTACTGACAATCGAGGCAATGTACGAAAGCGCAAAGTCTGGATCTGTCCAGAAGATCCGGGAATGACTGGAATTTGAGTCAAAAGCTCGGCGATGCGGAGCCAATCTTATGCACGCTATATATATATATATGTTTCATTTGACTTCCAATTGAATGGTGCAGTGCTTTCCAAGTACGTTGATTCATTTTGGGTCAAGTCACCCTGAAACAGGCAACAAGACCAGGGCGTAGCCAGGATTTCATGCTTATAGGATGGAGTGGATAAGTTTGGTATGACTCGGCATGACCATGGCAAAGCTGCTTTGAGCTCAAGATAGCTCACTTCAGACAGGACAATTATTTGGTGTTGTAGATCCAATGTGACACTCATGAGACAGGAAGCTAATTTTGGTATTTCTTGTTTAATTTCTTTTGCAGTTGCCCAGCACTCACTACCATTAGACTTTACCTGGTGAACCTCCGAGTTCTCATATCTTGAAAGTCGCAGTTTGCACTTGTCGGGCAGCAAGAATTCCTGGGTGCCAATTGTAGGTACAGCACTCACAATAGATCAACAGACGGCGGGGCATGCATTTTTTTAAGAGGTGGTACAGCATTCACATTGTTGAGCTTTCGATTCTTATTAAGCACTTGATGAATCTTGATTAGATTTCCTTCGTTTCATTCCACCTATGAACCATGCTTTACATTGGCGCAGTCGTTGGGGTGAGGGCCTCGATGCCGTGCGCAAGATGCTCAAAATGGCAAGGGTTCTTGAGGGACGCTTCTCCCTCAGGTGGGAGAAGCTTCCTCGCTTCTCTTACATCCTAGTAAGCAGTTTGCTTCCACAGATCAGCTCCTCAGTGCCCTAGGGTCCTCCCCCCCCTCCGTGCCCTATCCCCCAAGGCCAAAAACAAGGTGTTTACTGTGTCCCACGTGTATTCACGTGTCCACCAGCGGGATTGCAACAATTAGCGCAGACAGCTCAACACGAGAGCACCGAAGGCTTTCCTTGCTACCAAAAACGTCAGGTCGTACATGTTAGGTGCTACATGTTCAGTACCTTCAGTACAACCGCAACTCGAACCGCTTTTCCGCTCGCGCGCTGCGGGTCGGCCGACCCGCTTTGTACGAGGCCTATGCACTGTACAAAGCCTGGCAGTGTTCCAGTGCTCCGCATGTCCAAGAGCTCCGAGCAGAGGAGGCACGTAGAGGGAGTTGAGGAGCCTTTCCAGCATGACTTTCGATTGGAGTCCCAGACGGTCATGAAGTTATCGTTCTCGGAACAGCTTTCTCGGAATTGGAAGTTGTTTCTTCCTTAACTTCTTCATGGGAAGTCTTACATAATGAAAGCTGGCACTCTTTCAGACAGGTTCCTAGGTGGGTTTGGCAATATGCTTTGGCAGCAATTATCACATCCAGCAGGAATTGCATTGCCAACAAATACATAGCACATGAAGATGAGACACATCGACTGGAGCTTTTTGGCTGCTGCGCGTGCTTCACCAGCCATGGAGCTCCCGGTGACTCCAACTGAAGCTGTTGGACTCTCAGAGCATTTAGCGATGCTTCAATACTCCATTTGAATAAACAGCTTGGTTTTTCGCACAGTCGATGCTTGTGTGGATTGTGATACAAGTTCTTCGATGTCCGCAGCTGTTGAGCCGTTCCCAAAGCCTTGATAGTTGCCGTCCCATCCCAAGCAAGAGGCAAGCTTCTCTCTCTCTCTTTTTTCTCTCGCTCCTCTCGCTATAGCAGGATAGATTTGGAGAAAACTGAGGAACCGCCCAGCCATGATTGTGAAAGACATGAGAAGTCAACCACAAAAAGCACAAGATGCGTGGTCGACAATGGCCTATGTTTTTGCTGCACCTGTTTGCAGATCTTTGCTTCCATAGAGTAGAGATGTTCAATCTCACTGGCCTGAGCTTGGGGCAGGCCATGTTTCGGCTTTTGGATGATTCTGATGAAAGGCTGCAGAAGCGTGATGGTACCTCAGCTGGAGGGAGGGAGGGAGGGAGGGAGGGAGTGAGTGAGTGTTGGTGTTGGTGTTGGTGTTGTTGTTGTTATTATTGTTATTATTGTTGTTGTTGCACTTATTTGCTGCCTGAGGGGCTCGCGGGAAGTTCCTGGAAGCCTTCGCAGGGAATGAGGACTACCCGTTCCACACAGTAGAGGACGCTTACAAGAACCGCTCCGTTTACTATGGCACCATGCAGGCCAACGTCATGGCTGAAGCGGTATGTGCCTTTCGCCACGGTGGAGCAAGCATACTGTCCTGCCGACCAGGCTACGACGCGCTTGTGGCATTCCGCCCAGTGGAAGGCGCAACCAAAGAAGCAGTGTCAAACACGGCAGGAAAGTCTGAGGCATCTGATTTGCAGTTGAAGGACAATGTTGTGGAGTTGAGCGGTGCTTTGTTCTGGGTAACTCAATGTGAGATTGAGGAGGTGACCCGGAAAGGTGTCACAGGACATGAAGCTAGTTTGAAGGGGGTTGGTCTCTTGGGAAGACGACTCGAGACAGCCTTGCGTCCATCCTTGCACCCAAGTGGTCAGGAGGTGTGTCTCAAAGTGCGCTTGTTTGCAGGAGACTATTTGGCCAGATACCAGTGTGCCATGGAGCTACAACATGAGCCACCCCTTGAGAGGATGCTAGAAAAGATGGTCCTGAACCCATGGCATCCTGAGAAGGGAACTTATAGCCCTTGCAGACCCTTTCAGAGGCAGTTGATGTCAATCAATGAGGACCAGGAACGTGCAGTGAAGTCCTTGAAGTCACGGGTGGAAACCATTCATGGCCCACCAGGCACTGGCAAAAGTACAACTATTTTTCACGTGTTGAGTGCACGACTGCCTCATGGAGCTGCGGCTGTGGTCACCTGCGTGACGAACCAAGCAATCAATGCCGTAACGGAGAAGTTGTCAAAAACGCATGAAGGGACCGATGGACTACGGATCCTTGTTCTTGGAAATCCTAGTCGAGTTGGGACAACTGCGGGAACGTATACTCTTGACAACTTGTGCCAAAGAGATGCCTTGGTTGTGAACATGAAGTGGGCTCTCAATCTTTTGCAAAAGGTCTTGAAAGCGGTGGAACAATTGCAATGGGCCAGGCAGGAACGGCTTTGGAGACCACACCAGCGCTCGCGGTTCGGTCAGGCATACATTGAAGGGCTCCCGGTTATCCAGAGATACAGAGCCGAGCTTGAAAGAGACAACGTGCAACGCAGACGCCAATTGATGCCTGAAGAAATCTATGACCCTGTGAAGTTCTACTTAGAACGACTCAATTCCACAAAGCAGAAGATGGCTTTGGCAGTTGTGAGAAGCAAGCCTTTACGCTTGCCTTTCAGGAAGTTCAGAGGGTTCTTGCCAAGCAAAACTTGGGAGGTAGAAGTCTTCCATGAGCGCCTTCGGAAATGTGTGGTCAAAGCTGATAATGCACTCAGGGTGGCAAGGGATACGGCTCCTTCCAGGGTGGTCCGCAACACTCGAGTCTTCCTTTGCACGATCTCTTCCAGCTACCAGGCACGCGGAGTGTTTGAACTCCATTGCTACTGATATGGAACGTCTCATCAACAGGTTTTAAAGATATATAAATAATTATCAATATAAGCTATACAAATTGATATAAATGTATATATAATAAATATTGCTATAGCTTCTGGGCCTTCAGCGATTCAACGCAGTCGATAATCACAGATCGGTGAGCGGCTAGAACCTAAGTGAGGTGTGCAGTTGCACAATGATGCACAGTACACCTTTCATTTGCTTATATTCTCCACCATTCGGCAGGTGAGAACGCTTCAAGAATATTTTCCCAAGGATTTTCCAGGCCGCTTAGCTATGAGTATTTTGGATGAAGCTGCCGCTACGGCTGAGACCTATGTTCCTTTGGTGATTCGCACCCTGGCAAAAGATCACGGTTTGGGGGAACTGAAAGGACCAATAGGATCGCATGAACCGCTGGCATTTTCTCTTCAGGGAGCGCTTGAGCTCAAATTGTTGAGGCATTGGAGTGGAGAACCTTGTGATGCTGGGAGACCACAAGCAGTTGAATCCCTTGGTCCTGGCCACTGGTGGAGATCAGGTGATCAAGGACAAGAATGTGGACCGCAGCTTCATGGAGCGGGCTATGGCCTGCAATTGTCCTCTCCATCCATTGCGGACACAGTACCGGATGCCAGATGTTTTGTGCAAGTTGGTCTCCAAACTATTCTACAGTGCAGGGCTAAATTTACCCTTGTCGTATATCGTTGCATTGTCCTTTTTTCAATGCTGGCAGAACCTCTAGTATGTGTTCATACACAACTCTGCTTAGGTGGCCATTTGCGCAGTGACAGTGACCTCACCAGTCGCATGAGAAACCTATGTCTTGGCTGCTCTCCTTTACGATGGTTTGACATCCAAGACAGAGAGATGGAGGCAGCCGTTGTGACACCCACCACGACCCGCAACTCGGACACATGTAGGTTTCGGTGCTTTGTTTGTGCAGGTGGGCACCTCAAAGATCAACTGTGCGGAGGTCATGCAGATCGTGGCAAGGTAGCCTTGAAGCAAACCAGCCAAAGCATGTCGACACATCCGATGCATTTCATGACAACTTATGATGAGAACCTATTAGATCTGTTATGTTGATTTCAATGCACATTGCCTTTGTGCATAATATCTTCCGATCGGATTTCTTTTCTAAGGCTATAGTCCGACGCGACCTTCACAAATCCGCACGAACACGTCATGATCATCACTCTGTACAAGCCACAAGCTGCTTTGCTCGAAGAGACGCTGCGAAAGTTCTTGCCAAAGAAACTGGAGTCTGGGAGCATCAAGGCCTGAGACAAGCACACGAAGTTGAAGAGGGCTAGCGGATATTTGTAAAAGTTGTTTTTCCTCTTTGTTCTAGAGAGACAATGCGGCCCGGATGTCAAGACCTGTTAACTCACGCATGATCCAGCTGGGCGCAGCAGAAAAGGATTTGTCAGTCTTGACTTTGTCACAGGTGGCAACGGTTGATGCTTCCCAGGGATCGGAGGCACCGCACATCATCCTTTCCACTGTGAGGAGCCAGCAAAGTTGAATGCACATGCACGTTCATCATGATCTTTCATATAGTCCTTGAACTTGTAGATGGCCTTTTCTTTGCAAATATGCCATATGCTGCTAGCAAACATGTCACAAGCATTTACAGGCACAACATTGTTTCTACTGCGTAACTAGTCTTCTGTTGGGCAGGCATCATCGACATTGACCGGAATCAATTACTTGTTTTGCAGGAGCAACGGGAACCAAAGCATTGGTTTTGCTTCCAATCCACGCCGGCTGTGTGTTGCCATCAGCCGAGCGCAAAAGACTCTCACTGTCTTCGGAAATGCCAGCGTCTTTCAGCAACATGTCAGTCAAGCAAAGATTACCTTTGACTTTGTGCAGGCAAAGGAAGTGATGAGTGTGAGTTAACGGGTGACTCACTATGCTGTAGGAACGTATAAATGCACCAAATTTATTACCCCAAGCATTCATCACTTGATCTGCAAGTATGTTGAGTATTTGGGAGCCCATCGAATGTGACCGTCACGCAGTCCAGCTAGCTCAGGCAATCCAGACCTCATTGGCAGCAGGTCGTGGAGCACTTCCGCAGGGAAGGAACACTACAAGCGACCTCGGAAGGAGCAAGGGCTTTACTGCGCTTTGTAGCTATTCTCGCCTCAGTTCTCGAAGATCACTATTCCCATACTACTGCCAACTTGTTCCACCAGAATGTTTCAAAAGACAGCTTTGCGCCCCTTTTACTACTAGTAGCAAGAAGCTACTACTAGCGATGCCATTGTTACTAGTAGACTAGTAGCGATGCACTTGCTACTACTAGCGATGCACTGATCAGGAGCACTCTCCGGGTCCCTGAAAGAGTTTGTGGAGGGCCGAGCAGTGAAGATGGTGGAAGCCAGGCCTGCAAGGTCTGATCAGAGCAACGAGGAGCAAGTTCAGAGTTCAGATGTTTGTTGATGATCATGATGCCTTTAAATCATTTATATCCTTTTACGGGATTCTTCTTTGTAGTCTCTCTCTCTCTCTCTGTTTATCTTTGTTCTTGGATGCTTTTGCATACTCAGAAGATCGCATGACATGATTTTTTGGGGGGTGATCCAAAATCAGATCTACAACAGCTGATTTTGACTCAGTGTTTGGATGTGTGTTTGGGGTCCTTTCAATTGGTATGTGTCCAGTGGGCTCGATTTATCTCATTGAAAAAAGTATTTTGGGAATGCAGGCAGATGAGGCTCAAACCGAAGCTCCTACGTCGGTCCTACGTTACATTGTGCATAGTTAAGGTTGGCAGATAAGCACATCAATGTTTGACATGGAGACAGCCTGTTTAAGTCCTATACAGGGAATATGCTGGGTTTGCTTTGTAGTCCAACAATGACTTGAGATTTGTGTGTATTGGGGCGAACATTGGCAAACCTGTATATATAATTGCACGCATTCATTTGCAAAGAGTCAACATGAAGTATAGAGTATAGACCAAATGATGTTAGATATTTTGGTAGAGCCTCACTCAAATTCAACGCATGTGCCAATCGCAACACTTATGTTAAACAAACAAATAGTGCACCTTCCCCAAGTTCTGCTGGAAGTACCTGCACCACCGTTCACTTCCTGCTCACTTGGGGTTGCATCAAAGCCATGTCTAGAGTCAAGTGAAATTTGCTCTTATCGTGCCCATCCTTCAAAAGCCAAGGCAAAGGCGGCAAAGACAGCAAGGGTGGCAAGGGTGGTAAGGGTGGCAAAGGTTGCACGAGCAGCAAGGGCATCGGAAAGGGCAAAGGCATGGGAAAGGGCAAAGGCTTTGATCGCTGCCTGTGCCTTGGCCAATGGAACCTGTGCTTTGTTTTTGATATCCTATTTTTGCAAGTATTGGGCCTTCAATTTGTGTGCTACACCAAAAGTGGTTGGTCAGGTACTGGTCTCCTGGCAATTTGCGAAGTGGAATCAAAGGTGCCCGTAGAATCTATTGAGGCTATTTATGCTTGCTTGGCCAGCCCAGAGCTGGCTCTCAGCTGTTTTCCAAAGCTGGCTGGGCAAAGACATAGCATGAACCAAACAAATGCTGCCATGAAAGTCATGGCCCGGAATCGGCTCCTGCACGTGCCCTGCCAATGTCCCCTGAAGCGCTCATTGAAGTCTAGACTGGTAAGGATCTAGAAACAGGAACAATTCTAGCTTGTTTCCTGCAGTCTAAAGTTTGTGAAGTTCAGGGACCTACATGTTGGCAAATTGAGGAAGTGTCCTCCGATCTGTACAGCTGAACCTGTGTTGGTCCCACTTGCAACGGTGCGCCCGTTGTGAAATTGTGGACTGTACAGTACACAGAAATTCTGAAGCAAGTTGCGCCGAGCAAGATGATGCATACATGCAAAGAAATGAGCTGCACTGGGCTACTTGGTGCGGCATTTTGCTCTCGGCTTGTTCCCTGAGTTAGAGGGAAAACAACTTTATGCAAACTTTGTTTGAAGATTTGAAGAACCTTGATGGTCATGCTTTTTCCTGTTGCAGACACTCTCAGGAGAGACGGAGAGTCGTGTGCTGCCCGTTCGAGATCGTTCGAGGTGGTGCCCTCCCCAGCTGGATGCCCAAGTTGACCTTAGCGGACCATGGGTCGAACAACCACCGCGCACCATTGATAGACCGCCAAGATGGGGACATTAATGGACATTATATAATTCATGTTTATTCTATAAATGTTGCAATATTGGCAATATTCTTTTCCTGATATGTTTGAGGCTCAAGCTAGCATGTTCCACTGGTCGGCATTGCGGCATGCGCGCAGCATTGAAGTGCTGCAGCCGTTGCTATCCCAGCTTCTGGGCCAAAACAGTGGATGATGGCTTCGGCACAGATCTCACCGTGCGCTAGTCAAGCTCGCGTGGAGGAAATGCGGATTGCGCGATTGGATTGTTTACAGAATTTGACATGTCCTTTTTCGCGCCCAGGGTGAAATTCTTCGTAGCTAAGATAAAGAACAGGGTGTTTTGGTTGAAACCTTTCGAGGTACTTGGCAGAGAAGAGCTTGATCTCGAGGATCCAACGCCATCGTTGGAGACACAGAGTCAGACCTACAGGCGAGAGTCTGAGGATATGGTACATAAATGTACATCATCATAATGAATGTTCACATCACATAAATAAGCTACGAGTCAGTTGTAAACCACATTTTATATATACCGCAAGAATCCACCAACACTCATGTAATTTGATATCTTAAACACGCTGTTTTCGCCCACGACTACATAAATCTATAAATTCTCAAAACATCCACAACAATCGCTTAATTGGATCCAATTCTCCCACAATATGATCTCAACAACGACTACTAAACGTGATCTTATCATATCCGGAAAGAAAAAGCAAAACAACGCAAAACATTTGCTATGTATTCACTTAATTTCACCCTGAACAAAAAACAGTTCGTCATTTTTTGATTTGAACACATAAACAATCTCTCTCTATATATTTTATGTGACTAAGTAATTTGATCGATTTATAATGTATATGCACTGTCAAATTCTCTATGCAATCTTTTCAACAGAATTCACAAAAGTCATTTCACAGAGTACTCCAACTATTTTCGATAATGAACATCCCTTTTTCCTCCAACTATTCGCATGATTCCAATTAATAAAGAACTTAAGCTATCACTGTACAAAAACAAATTATGTCTCAAGGATATGTTCATTTCGATTATGAGGTTTGAGGTATAATATGCCGGAGAGTTGGTTCTTGCGGCGAACAATCCCTGTTGTTTGCGGTTTATGATTACGATGTGCACATGAGTAGTATGTCATGGTTGTATTTTGTTGTACACAAAATCGACTGACTGAAGACGAACAGACAGAGAGAGAGAGAGAGGGAGCTGAGGGCGGTTGAGCTGAGGTGTGAGGTAGTGTTGCCGGAGACCGTTGTGCAGGAAGGATGTATGGTGCACGGATTCTATCTACCTCCATGGGGTTCTGATTTGGACAACATTCAGCCGCAAAATGGTCCTGTTGGGCTCAGTAAGATGCAGAAGGCCGCTCTCCGAGATTGGTGCAGCATATCACAATGGCTGGCACGCCAAGGCCGCAATGATCTTTAAAGCAGAAGGTGCAAGTTTGTACCGCTGACTACTATATCCTGTAGTTGCTATCTACTATGAACGGAATTCTTTCTGTTGGCTTGAAGCTCAGTACTTTGTGTTGCTCAGAGTCTTCTTTAATCCTGGTGGCCTACCTTCTACCTTCCAGGTAGCTCGATCCAGGTTGCTTTTCATTAGTTCTAGTTGAGACAAATTATAATCCACTTCTAAGGATCTGATGTTTTTTAGCTTTGGCAAGACACTGGGAGGTTTCCACCCACAAATTTGTGGTACCTTCGTTTAAAGTTGGGTGAACACGTTCCAGGGTGTTTGGATAAAGCCTTGATATGAACTTGATGTGATACCATGGTTGCAGACACACGCAAGCGTGCGCTTGTGCCAGGTCATGCAGACCAGGCCCCGATCATTTTTGAAGGTCGGCCTGATGCCAGTAAGATCCGGCAAGGCCGTGTCACAGACTGCTCCTTGATGTCCGTTTTGTCAGTGCTGGCCAACTATGACAATTGCTGCAAGACATCAACCCTGGAGAGTATTGTGCAAGGACCTGTGAGGAGAATTCAGAACACCGTTGAGTATTCATGTTGCCTTTTCGTGAATGGTATTTTCCGATGTGTCCTGGTTGACGACCTGGTGCCCGTTTCCACCAGCGGGAAGTTGCTTTGTGCACATTCAGCATCTTCACGTGAGCTTTGGGTTTTGCTCATTGAGAAGGCTGTCGCGAAGATTATGGGTGGCTCCTATGCGATGCGAGGATCGAATCCCAGCACAGATGCATTTCATCTCACTGGGTGGATTCCAGAGACCTTTCCCTTTAAGGAGGAGACTGGGGAGAGTAGTACTTCTCAAACAGAGTGGATGAACATCTTTGACACGGCACAGCAAGGTTTTCGGGATGGACACTGTGTGCTTTGCGTTGGGACGACAGAGCTACCAGATGCTACAACCAGCGAGTTGGCACTTCGTAGCGGATATTCGGAGGGGGTGAGCTCTTCAACTGGCTTAGTGGCAGGTCATGCGTATCCTGTGCTGCAGTGCCGCTTCGAAGAGGGTCAGCGCTTGCTATTTCTCAAGAATCCTTGGGGCCATACCAGATGGAAGGGTCGTTTTGGTCCCGGCGATTTGATTTGGAAATCAATGCCAACACTTGCATCCAAGCTCGGATACAACAGTGAGGCTGCTGCCGTCGATGATGGTGCCTTTTGGATTCCCTGGGAGGATGTTGTTCGGTACTTCAGCCACTTCTATGTGGCTTGGTCACCAGCAGCACTACAGCTGCATGAGGTACAAGCACATGGCTGCTGGAACCCGTGGCCACATTTTGTTCAGAGCATTTTGCCAGATGATACAGACATTTTGGCCTTCAATCCTCAATTTCACTTGCAGCTGAACGAGCCACTACCAGCAGCTGAAGGTGTTGGACTTTGGGTGGTTTTAAGCAGGCACATCAAGAGCCAAGCTGACTATAATTCTCATTTCATCTCAGTAAGTCTTTACAGTGGCAAATCGCGCATTTGCTGTCCAAATACTGTTTTAGAGCAAGGAGTCTTCTCGAACGGTGAGTGTGCGTTGGTGAAGTTGCGAAATAATTCAGCGAATACTCAAGACTTCACAGTGGTGGTCTCTCAGCATGGAGCAAAGAGAGCCTTCAACTACACGATCCAGGCAGGGGCTGACATACGTGCATAGAGATCAGATTTGCTAGAACAAAAAGTATACACTCCCTGAAATAATCATGGCAGTGGAAAACCGCCGCCTGCCGTATCCGGTCGTCGAGCCTGGTCATCGTGCACCCTGGTTGGGTGCTACAGACAAGAGACACGCATTGGATTATACAGTATACATGTAATATATGTATACATCATAGATTGAATGCTTGCTTGCCTCCGAGCTTTGTGGAATGGCCCTGGCATAGACTTCCATTGCACAAGTACGAAACAGGCTGGAGAGACTTCTAAGAGGGGTTTGTAGGGAAACACCAACCTTAGAGACAAGGAACAAGCGAAAGGGACCCAAGGGTGGTGGGCACCGCACTAGTAGCTTGATCTAGCTTCCACCATCCAGGTCTACACACAAGTGGCGGCGACACTTGTTGAGTTGCCTCCGTTGGTACCAAACAACTATGCCTCTGGCTCTGTTCGGGGCGAATGGACGCGGCGCACTGCTGGAGGATGCAGCAATAGTGCTCCTAAGCCGCAAGCTGCAAATGAGACGAGAAGAGACATTGGTAGGACCTGAAGATCAGATACAAAATTCCCATCCATTGAGGGTGAAACATAGTCTGTGTTGTGAGACATACCGGTCCATTGCTAGCATTCTCCTCGGGACACTTGAAACTTGAAATTCACATCACCGCCATTGGCCATTGGACTTGAAGTGCTCTGGGAGCTGATACGTAGCAGTTACTATTTTCCCGATAGTACCATGTCATGTTTTAAGACAAGACAAGACATGTCATGTTTTAAGTTAGTATTTTTAAGACAAGGCATTCGATTGAGGCACCGTGCCGGAGCCAAGGTATGGTCATTTTTCCAGAATCCTCAGTGGAGCTTCACCGTGCCACCGGAGGGATTACAGGATGTGTGAATCCAGATTGTTTGCCCAGAACTACAGTGTCTAGTATAAAAGTGCAATTTCACATCCTTCAACCTGTAACACAAAACACAAACCTTGCCCGAGGCCCATCATTTGAACCTTTGAGAAATCATTGAGTTGACAGCCCCAAAGCCTCGCCTTGAAAACGCCGTTCGCGTTGCCAGGAGTTGATTTTCTTCTTGGAATGCCAAGACGTTTCGGTGAATTTACGCCTCTTCACCGATGCCGTCGCACGCCCTGAAGCACTCCGGAATGCCACCTCCAGCGGGGCCTATCGCCGGGGCTGTTGCATGCTGCGGCTGAAAGACTTGGAGGGGCTTCAGACCTATGTCCTGGTGGTCTCTACCTTCCGCCCAGGAGTAATCTCCTCAGTACAGTGGAGGAATGCAACATGTTGTGGCCACTTAGGGTCAAGGACTTTTTGTCAGTTTTGGAATGAGCGAAGGAAGATTCAAGAAGTGCAACTCTCCGACAAAGCACAATATGAGTTTCTGAGGTTTGTGGCTCTTATCGGCTTGCCTGGCACGCATCAAGCAGCATCACCATGTCGCCACAGCCACATCCCTTCGTAGAAGGAGCCTTGGCACATCCATTGAAGTCCGTGGTGCAAAAGATGAGCATCGGCTCCATGGTCGAGATGCAGCTCCGCCTTGTGGAGCAGACAGCCTCCACGGCGTGTCAAGCTTGTCGCGTGAGTGTTCGGTTGCAGGGGAGCTATGATGGAGGCTCGGCAAAACGAGAATTGTAACAACGTGTGCACCATTGCTGCCTGCCCTTACGAAGTGCTCATGACTAAGTCAGCTCAAACATTAGGAAAGATGTCATCCTGGTGCATCTATTCATTCCATGCGGTGCTGCCAGGCGAGCTTCCTTATTTGGAGTTGAGCAGTGCCCACCCATCGCGGCAGGCGCCATACTGTGTACGTTTGAAAGCCTCTGATGCAGAACAGTGACCTTGGCTAGGCTGCAACAAGGCAATTTGCATATCTTTGATCAGGAAACTGTGAGAACAATCCAACTTGGTTCGTCCCTGCAAAAAGTCCAACTCCATGACTCACTTTGATTCCAACGAGGTATTTCCAACTTACGGGCGCTTCAGTGATCCTCTTTGCACAGCTGAAGCCCTTGGAGAGCTACGTGCTCCGTGCCAAAGTGCCGCGAAGTCCTGGAGCCCGAAGTGCGAAGCTTTACATCAACTCAGATCGCCTTGTTCTACTAGACACTTGACAGCATTGACACGCCCACATCCAAAGACACGTTTTTTTGTTCTTGTTACTGGTGTCTTTCGAGACACAAGTCCAAATATATTGTGGTACATACATTATGTAATATAGTTTTGAACAGTGACACATCATCCGATGTCAATCCCAGAATACTGTATCTATGCTGCATGCCGAAACATGAACAGCTGCAATGTCACCCAACTGGGGGCTTGGAGTATACATGGTGTTGAAAGAACTTAGGAATACTCAGAACCAAGTGCTCCTAAATAATCCTACCTCCCTCTTAAAAATGCCTTTGAAGAAGAGTCCTGGTATCTGAGGACAGCCCAATGAGCCCACGAGGACGAAGGAGGTGAAGATCTCCACGATGTGCCGGTCGGACCTGCAGACTACAACAGCGCACTACTTGCTTATGAAATCAAAGGACCTGCAGACAGGGTGGAGGACCTCTTCCCCGATCAAAGGACCTGAAGTCTCGCGTGCCTTGGAGGAGTCACACAAGCTCCTGATTGATCCTGCAAGAGTGGTTGCCGCAGTTCCGTGCAGATGCAAAACTGCGCTACTCTGGAGAAGGATCAGTTTGTCGCACTTGGCTTGCTCATCCGCACTTCAAACTGCAGAATCGGACATCTCAAGATGCCAAGATGGAGCTGCCAGGGTGCTTTGAGTGACCTCCCTCCATGCTTCAATGCTGTGAATCATGCAATAGCAATAGTTCGAGCCTGGAGTATCACCCTCAAACATCCACAAGTGAATGCCCAGTGCTAAATTGCAATGCTGGCGAAAAGGCAGAGATCAAGAGAAAGTGAGAAGAGAACGTTGAAACTTGCTTTTGCTCTTTGTCGATAGCTGCTGTCTCTTGCCATACCGAGGTCTTGGGATCGATGCACTGATTCGGAAAAAGCCAGCTTGAAACAGGAGATGCAAAGATGTCAAGAACCACCTGGTTTTTCTGTGCATTTACTTTATGATAGTTAATACATTGTAAATTGTAAGGGCACGGGCTATTGATTCTATGAAGAACCACTGCTAGGCAGAAGCATGTCCTGGCTGCGGGCTTCAAGTCAGCGATCTGAGGTTCGAGGAAGTGTTAGGGTTGGTTCAGTGACCTGTGAGAGAGCGTTTTACTTTAACAATGTTTGCTTGAGTGTCAACCCCTTTGCATTTGCCAGCATTCTTGTCAAACTCTCCAAGAGCAGGCGTCACATGAAGCGATGCTGCCCCGAGCGGCTTCCAGAGAGAATCGGATCAGCTGAGGACATCGATTTAGAGATTCACATATATATATATACAGTAAATATATCTATTATAACCGATTACCACAATCATCATGGTCTTGAATCTTTCAGAGCAGAGTGGGAAGCAATCATTTTTGCACAATCATTTTTGCAAAAACAATCCAACAAGATGACATGCCCTGGCTATCTTAGTCCTCCCTGCATGCAGGACCGCCGTGCTGCTCGTAAGGCGGCCAGTGAAGAGGCACAACTCTTCAACAGGATCTTGCCACAGACCTATTTGGGACTCTCGAGCATGCAGGAATTTATTTCTGCAACAAACTTGGGATTGTTATAGATTGTACATGGACGCAACACATGTACTGTATGACATCAAGAACTTCATGAACAATTCTGCACATAAGTTGCTTATATTTAATGGACTTTAAACCATGTGAGGATTGCCTAACGCGGCCTTTAATCCCAGCATCCGATGCAGGACTGGATCAGCGAAGAGGAGGCTGCAGCTCCTGACGCATTCTCGGAACCACTTTTCGAACGCAACCGACTTTCGGATATCATGTTTATATTTATATATATGTTCATGATTATTTATGTGTCTTTCTGGAAGCCAATACTCCCGCGATGTAAGAAGCTTTTGCCCTGTGGGTCGCTTGACTTGTAAGATCCAGACTTCGGACATTTCGTTGCAGGTCAAGCAAGCTGCCTTGAAGTCCTTTGCCAGTGTCAAGGATTGCACTCGAGGTTCTTTGACACTCGAGACATCATGAGGCATAGAATGTGCGTCTAGCAATGGAATTTTAGGTACACACAATTTGTTACACTGTTACACACACACACTTGGATTTCTTTTTTGGTACAGTTCTTGCACTAGTATCACTGAATCAACATGTGGCCTGTCTTTGCAAATGGCTTCAATGGCCTGACCAGGTTCAACGGCCCAACACATGTGCACAAATCACAAAAAAGAACTTTCTTTTGTTCTTCTTTTTTCATGTTTATCCTAAAATATGTTCAAAACCAATTTGCAAATGCAGTGTCCAAGCTGTAGGACCCTTTGCATCGTCGAGTTCTAGAGCTACGCTTCGGTGCTGATCAAGGAGCAATGCATCGACAGAACTTGGATTAGCTCAGCCAGATGCTTTTGGGCCCAACAGGTTGATTTGAGACCTGTTTGCTGTTGCCAATTGTCCTTTACCAGCACAACTGATGCCGTTTGTGACATGCTTTGAGCGGCATCAGGAGGTTTGCGCCGTAGCCCTGCAGAGGTTGCCGAGGCCTTGGGCGGTAAGTACCACGGAAAGGCAGAGGCGCGGATGCTGACAAACTCGGCAGAGGTTTCCCTGCGCTTAAGTGGACTTGCTCTTTTGGAAGACGATGGAAGGTGCATGACGGTGCAGAAGCGCTCTTGAATCTTCCGCATTCAATGGTGCTTTTTGTTTTGGCGTATGGCTCAAAAGCTGAACATCAGGGTGCTTCACCCTTTCTCCTTAGCTTGAATAATACAAGTGAATATACATGTTATAGCACAACATATGATAAACATAGGTGCGTGGGTCAGGTTGTATACTGTATCATTGTTTGGAACCAACCTTAGGGATTATCAGCTGTCATGAAAGCTTTTGAGTTGTTTGAACAGCTGAACTGTTTGGCCCTCACGCAACAATTTGTTCAGCTGGCATCAAATAATCAACCGTGTGCTTGCAGGCTTCCCGTCGGCCAACTTGTTTGCATGCAATGGATGCATGCTTGGCGAGGATTGCCAAAGGACAGCAACACACACACACACATATATATATATATCAGGCTGAGTGGAGACCTGAGAATCAGGTGTTGCAGCAACATTTCCTAGATCTAGTGGAGGAGAGCCGACATGGGAAGACATGCAAGCTGCAGCAGATGGTGGATGGCAGCAGCAACCTGCTTGAACTTGAACTTGAGAGATAGAGAGGGAGAGAACACCAATTTTGCTAGTGTGACTCTGTGACTTTGTGATGGATGAGTTTTCTCCCTTGATAGGCAAGCAATCAGTGCAATGTTGGAAGCTTTGGCCGATGGACATGAAGATATGGCTGATCTCCTTTTTGCCTGGGGAGTATCACCGGACCTCGGGCGGACTGTGGCCGATCCGCTTGTGGAGAATCCCACCGCGGGTGACATGTGTGTGTTGATCCTGGGCTGGGGTGGATCCAGTACCGAGCAGCTGGAAATCATCCAGAAATGGTGGCGAGAGCGTGGCTTCCGAACCTTGGCCACCACTTTCTGCAGCAAGGCGGTAGAGAAGCAGCTGATGGAAATTAAGCGCTTTATTCCTTCTGGGGCCGATGTAATGGTCCATGCCTTTTCCAATAATGGCATGTATTTGCTGCAGCATCTTTGCCAAGATGCTGGCAGAACCTGGCGCCTTGCGGGTGTCATTGTGGACTCAGCACCAGATGTGAACATCAGTGCTCCTTTAATGAGACAAGTGGTCAACGGCTGCATCCGGGCCTTGTGTATCTCAGAATAAATTAGGACTGTTTCCACTTGTTTATTTGTACAATGATCGGGTGTCCAGTTCATTGGGTGTTTTATGTTACATAGTTGAGGCTTCCGCAAAGCTCGAGAGGTCATGACTTCAGTGGACTGTTTAACCACCCCAACACCAAAGAAGCTCTATACCAACCTTGATGCACTGACTAGTGAAGAAAATCTGTAGGGAAGATGACATGTTGGCACTCTCTTTTCTTACAGTGCAACCACTGCAGGCATGTTGAACAGGGTTGTGATTGAGAAGAAGGCCGAAGCCGCGCTCACATCGCTAAACATTGTCACCCCGCTACGGGTTGGTGACTCCATCAGCTTTTCAGAAAGAACACCCAACGTCCTGGATGCAAGCGGCCACCGGCGAGGTGTGCTGTTGACCGGCAGAGGCCCATTGAGCTAACAGACGCTGTGCATGCGAAGTAGATCGAATAAGTAATTAAAGACCTCCTTATGCTGAGCTGGAATTCTGGAATTCTCTTAATAGCAAGTTTTCAGCTGACATGTTAGACTTACTGCATGGTATTCTTTGCTTCTCGAATTCTTCGACTTGAAGAGTTGGATTCCGCGTGTGCAGGCTGTCTTTCTCAGCAAGATGAAGAGGCAAATGCGAGTGCAGAGAGATTGATTGAATAGCAAAGAAATGCGTTGATCAAAAAAGAAAAATATATATAAGTCATTAATAAGTCATTTCACTCCTTGACAGCTACCCTTGGGACCTGTCTCGAGGCTGTCGTCAGCTTCTTGGATCGACCTCTTCAGGGCAAAGATTTGCACCAACTGAAAACCTTTCAGGTGTCCAAGGCGCTTCTTGCTCCTAGTAGCGATGCCAAGAGCCCCTAGTAGCTTCTTGCTCCTAAGGTGTCCAAGGCTGCTTCTTTGTCGTGATTTCCGGATTCCTATTGCTCAATGATCAATGTATGGTCCCATACCTCATTTGTTCGATGATGCACATCACCAGTGCCGGGCATGTGACATAGACTTAGACTCCTTGCTGAAGGCAAACTGAAACGAACGATATAGAATGCAATTTCCATACTGTACCAGGATTAAGTATGGGCAGTATGTGATCGTTTGAGAGTTTTTATCAGGTTGAGATCAGCGAAATCTCCGACTTTCTCAGCCGGGAAGATGCTCCTCTCCTCTTTGTATACTCCTCCTCGGACACCCTCATCAAGCCACAAGCAGTTGAGGACTACATCAAAGCATCAACTCGCAACTTAGCTCCACCTTGTCGTTGCTAGTTTTGCATTGCCTTTGGCCTTTGCATTTGTTTGTTCTTGTTGTTGTTCTTTGCTGCTGGATGGAGATATTGCATGGTTCGAGGAACTGGTATGTTTGGTGCGTTGAAAGTCTCTTTGATTTTGTCGTTGCACTGTGGACAACTATGGGCGGTGTATAGTGTGGATATGTTTTTCCACGCTGAGGAGAAGGGCAGGCTAGCAGCAAGCGCTTCACAGGATCACAGCACGTCCGCCATTTCCAAAAGCACTTTGACCCTTGGTGATTGAAATTGAATCTAGTTCCACAAGGAAGTTTCGACATAATTACATAGTGTGTATGTATAGTATGAGAACAATATACTTTTTGCATGTCTATATCCTGGGCTAAGGACGATTATTCTGCTGAAGTGAGCCGCTTCGTAGATGTTTGCCGGAGCCCTTCGCATGCTGGTGAAAATCTGCAGAGCTGATCTAGCGTTCAATCTTTAGAGCACGATACTAGGAGCTCCAATGTCTCTATGCCAGGGTTGAGAATCCTAGTAGGATTCGCTCCTGAAGGGCACATCCGTCACCATTCGTCCCACGATATAATATAGATTCTATTGAACCCTTCGCTGCCAGACTGCTCTGATGCTGATTCGCCAAGCTTTGCGGAGCATTCCCTTGGTGGCCGATGACCCAAAGGACGCTTCAAAAGAGAGCGGAATAAGAACCCGTTGGAATATGTTTGGCCCCAAAGGATGTGGATTTCCAGGAATGCTTGTAGCAAGGAATCTAATAGCGATGGCCTCCAACCTACGAGCGATTGCCTCCAACCTCTAATAGCGATGGCCTCCAAACTAAGAGCGATGGCCTCTAACCTAAGAGCGATGGTCTCCAACCTTTAAGCTTCTGGAGACATATTAATCTCCAGGAATGCTTTGTCCGGATCTTGATAGATGTAGGTGGTGACTAGGGCTTCCACCGCCTTTGGAGGATTTGGTCGTCGTCTACGAGGACCAGAGCTAAAGTCCTCCTGTTCCTGGCAATTCAAAAGCCTCTGTGAATTCAGTGATTGGATGAAGAAGACTTGAGACTTGCGCTACTGAACTGGTGGTATCCACGTGTCCCCTCGTTCAATGAACCAGAGGATGAAGACCTGCTTGCCGTCTCCAAGCCACCCTTCTTGCGTGTTACTCCAGTACACAGGCAGGACATAGAATGGACATTTACACGAGGTCGTCCTGCTGGTGTGCAGGTTTGTGGGCAAGTCCTTGACAAATCAGGCTGGATGTTGAAGAGTCAGATTGTGTTTTCATGTTCTCTCTCTCTCTCTCTCAGGTGCTGGGATACCTTCAAGCCACCTATGGGGAGGAGCCCAGACCCTGGATGAACTAAACTCCAAGAAACATGTTGGACTAACAGTTTCAGGTACGACTCTCCAATGGTTCTGCATCGTTTAGTTGGGCCCTTGGATTTCTTGACCAACGATTCAAGTTGAGTGCTGGCCACTTGTCAGGACCAGACCACCAGCGGCTTAGTTCTTTGTGCAAAAAACAAGGACCGCTGTGACAAGCATCCTCGCCCTTGCAGTGCTATCCCTTGACAATTCAGACCACCTGGTGCCACACAAGTTCAGCAGGTATTGACATGGAGGATTCGTTCATGTATTTTCATGTCAGTGTGTGTAATCAAAAAGTGGGACTTCTCGATCATTGGTTTTTGGTCCAGCTTTTCCCAGGGCCTACGGCCTATGTCATATTTCAAGACACAAAGGTCGTTCACTGTTTTTAATCGTTGCAGGAGGCTGCTCGGATTTGTGGTGCCGGAGTCCAAGAGGGTTCGGCCTACTCCCTTAGCTTCCATGTAATGTACCACGTGGTGAGGAACGCTGGCACGATGAGGAGTGCAAGAAGGACAACTCAATTCAGCATATCGAGCTTTGCAGTCCTTGCTAGATTAAGAAAAGGATCCAGGTATGATCATGTTTGACTCTTTGTTGTTCCAGGAATACCTTGCCATCGCCTTGCCCACAGCGTCCTGCCAACTGAGCAATGTGGGTGATATGCTGGTTTGCCCTCAGCCCGCCGTTCAGCTGCTGTTCGATTCCTTTGCCTTTGAGAAGACACGACAATTGATTCAGTTGCTACTAGGAGCAAGGACGCTACTAGGGGCTCCTGGCATTGCTACTAGGAACAAGGACGCTACTAGTATTGGATTTTCAACCTCCATGTGGAAGTTGCTCAAAAAGTGTGACCTCAGCCTCAGCCCTCAGCTGTCGAAACATTCAATACTCCAGGCACCTTGCAGGTGCACGGGACATGATTCACAGATGCCTGCACATTCCACCTTTGTTATAGTGGTTGGTATAAGTACAACCCAAACTCTATATATAATATATAGCCGGTATTTCCATTTGTAGCTCTATTATTCTGAGACAAACAGAAGTCCTAACAAGAAGAAGTCCTCGGCAGACCCTCTTGTCAATTCGGATGATACACTCATTGCGGCCGTCTGAGCCTGTACGGCGCTTGCTCCGGGCCCCACACCCTTTGGGACGCCATGTACATCCTTTCCGGGTACAGGCTGGAATGACAAAATCAGAAATGACAGATTCAGATATATGTTGTGGATGTATCTCTTGAATTGTTTTCCAAAGCCAAGAACCATTTTAATTATTAATGGCACATAATATGATGGAAGCCGCTCTCAAGTAAAAAGCGGCAAGGTTCACTCAGTCAGTGGCGATCGTAGAGTTCAGAAATGGCCGGGCCCCACAACTGATGCTGGTATCCGGTATACAAGGATTGGTATTCTTTTTTCATGCTAGGTCCGCACTTGATGTACGCTGGACGACTGTGAAGATCTGACAGCTTGGCCACTCCTCCAACGCCTCCCAACGATAGAACAAACATAGTAAGAGGCAATAACAGCCAGCACTGAAGTTCACACGTGTGTATGTGTACCACACACACACATGCCCGTGCGCAAGACTGCCGCAATGACTTGCGATTGGAGTCTTAGCATCTTGATATTCGTAACATAATATGATTTAATATATATATATATGATTTTTTTATAGGGTGTTTCCTCCTACCTCAATTGAGATGTTCATCGGTTCTAATTTCACTGTATGAACAGGTTTGAGATTTCCTCGGAGGCGACATGGAGCAGATCAGCCACGTGCAGTGCCTGTACAGTAGTGGCCTTTGCGCATCGCCCAGCTCGGAAATCCATCGCATGCGGCGTCACCAGCACCAGAGTGGAGCTGGACCTGGAGACACTCGAGGTACCTTTGCCTTGAAAGATGAAAGCGGTTTTGGTACTCTCACTCCGTTTGCTTTCAGTTCTGATTTCAAGCATGATATGTTGTATCTCGAAGTGGTTTGCTTGCATACCCAGACCAGTGATGCTTGGCTAGATATCCTTTTCAGGTCATGGATGTCTTCTGTGAAGAAGATGGACCAGTGCGAATTCACATGAAGTCGCCCCTGGATGGCTCTGCGAGACAATTTGACCGCCCTCGTGACCAGCAACTCCAGAAAACTTTGCAGCGAATGGCCTTGACCCTTAAGAGGGGTCCAAAGAAGAAGACCAAAACGAAGAAAGCCATGCTGAGAACTAAGGAGGCTCAACAAGACATACAACAAGTGTCCTCCAGTGAAAGATCGTCTCAAAGCCAGAGTGATAACATTGCAAGCCAGGTGCAGCTAGTGGAACCTGACGACTGTTTATATGACAACCAGGGGCAACCGATCAACGATCATCTTCCACTGGCTGATGCTTTCACATCGGCGAGGAAACCGACATGCCTGATGCTTGGCAGCGATCTCAGAACTCTCAGAAATCATTCAATGCACTTGATCAGTTAAAGGGTCTTTTGCGCCTTGCTCCAGTCAAGTTACCTTCCATCTTTCAAGCAATGACTTGCGGTCTTCGCCCTACTTCTTCACTGATGCGAATTGAAATCAACTTGATGCAAAATATAGAAACCGCAATGTAAGGTGGCCGGAGGTACCGGATTCGCCTGAACCGGCCGCTTGTGAAGACAATCACTTGCGGTGGCCAGCCAATGGCTGGGTTTCGTTTGGTGCCAGTGGCACACTGGGATGGTGAGCAATCCATCCGATGGGAATGGCGGACCTCTTCCGGTGAGTTGTTGGCAAGGACACGCTGCTTCACACCGACAGAGGCCTATCACTTGAATGAATATGACATGGAAGACGATAGTGGGACCTGAGTCAAGCCGGTGTAAATGGACTGCACATGTGCCATGGTAGGCAAGGCTTGATAGAGGTTGTTCATAGTTGTTCATGTGCTGGATCAAGCGTGAATGGACAAATTGGCAGCCATGCCAAGTAGGACAAAGTTCGTTGATCATGTACTAGTTGACGCTGACACACGAGGCGGATGTTGGCTCACGCTTGGAAGTCGTCGCCCGACCACCTTTGGCCGAAGATGAACAGATGAGTCGACTCCTTGGAGTGGATGACGATCAGGCAAAGTGCTCAGCAGATTGTTCGTAGCTAATTATTTTCAGTGCCACGCAGTTTTGCACCGTGTTCTTTTCTACCTCAAAGAACATGAAGATTCGCGAACGGGTTTGTTGGAAGCAACGCAACATCATGTCTTCGAAGTTGGCAAAGATGCTTTCGAAAGGCAGCTGCCCGTCTAAGCTTTGAAGCGGTGGCAAAGGCGCCTCCCTTCCCACCGGGCTTAGCAGCGGAGCGTGAAGAGGCGCCAAAAATGTGACAATGTTTTCAACGTACAGTTTGCCTGACGTTTGATGCATATTGATTCATACGCTCCAAGAACATCATCACAGTCCGTGTTGGAACTATACTTTTTAAACCAGTTATGATTCATCATGCTTCACACTCAAGTTCTCTTGATTCTGCTCTTGACATTTCCCAGTCCACATATTGTCTCGCATCTCCAGCCCCCTGCTGCAAGTTTGATCATACTTTTGTTCCTGGTTGTGGACCCCAAATCAGCTCATCCTGCATGACGGCCTTTTGCACATGTTCAACTGATGTTCAAGGGTGTCTCATGCCGTTTGAGGAGATGCAGAGACAAAAGTTGAGCTGGCAATTGCAGCATGTGACGCCCCTCAGTGCGACCGGACTCAGTGGCTGTTGCTCAACAGATTCATTGTCTTCAGTGCATTCAGAGATCATAGAGGATTTGTTTTGTATCTTTGAACAAATGAAACGCCGAAAGCTAACAAGCGCATCGCAAACGACTGACCTTTGCAACAAATCATTGCAACAACCTTAGGACAAGAGCAATTTCAGAGTGTTGAGCTACAACATGCTGGCAGATGCCTACAGGCAGCCCACATTTACCAAGCTTGCACGCTGATTTAGTCCGAGCTTAGGAGCTTCTGAGCTTCAATTTGCAAGAAGCCCTCCAACATGCAGTTTTTAAATGCCAAAACTGAAGCTTAACCAAAGCGACGCGTAGGCATTGTTGGGACTACATATTTCCCTATTGCGATCCCGAGACATTGCTACCAGAAAGGAGGCAGCGGGCACAAGCTGCACGTCGTCTTGTCAAGTGAGTTTTCCAAAAATCATCTAGCAAAATATTGTATCCACGTGTCACATGCAGTTTTTTTAGCAGTTTTCGTAGACTTTAATATGCCTTCACCCCTGTGCCTCAGGCTTCAACTTTGTCGACAGGAAGTCTCGGACTCAAACCGAAATGCCTCGCTTCGTGGCTGACCAAGTTTGCGGCATGTTAAAAGGGATCTCTTACTTTTTACGCCGCAAAGTGACAGCCAGCCGAGTGATCGTACAGGTTTGCACCTTCAATGCTGACATCATGGCTCTGCAGGAAGTCGATGCATTTTGGTATAAGGACGGAATGTGACTCTTTGTCACCATAAATCGTGCTTGTCCTTTGCTTCTGCAAAACACCTACGTAGTATTGTGGTTTCCTTTCTCTCTCTAGAACAGAAACAGTCTCCCGGCCCTGGCATGGCTGTTGCCGCAGCCTCTTTTTGTGCTCATTTTCCCGCCGTTCTCGGCGCTGCAGCACGGCCAGAAAATATCAACATTAACTACAATGACTGGGCAGTCACACCCAGCAGCAACCTGATTGATGCCCAGCAATAATTGCACATCCTCTTCGGTTGGCTGAGACAACTTGCAATGAGTTGCTCCTGGTTATGTTGTGAAGAAAAAGTGGATGGAAAAAGGTAGTTTCGAATATCACTTAGAACTTAGAATTATTTGGAATTTGTTTGTTCACTTCCACTATACACACAATATGATGACAGATGAGAGGGGGCTTTGCTTGAAGCAAAACACTTAATAACTGATGTCCCCTTTCACCTCCCCAATCATGAACCGATTATTGCCTTTGGAGTCAAAAGCTTCGGCCAAGCGTGACAGACTTTCACATCATGCGGTGACGCCATGCACGGGCGGCGGCAAAGAAGCCATAGTAGCAGCCTCAGATGTTTGTCCAGTAACAACTCGGGGAGTCCTTCACATCGACGAAGCATGATTTGATTCCCGGTTCGCTGCGTGTCGGGAGGATAATGAATTTGAGCGCTCAGCTGACCGTATCACTATAATAAGTTGGGTGTGCTCAATCCTTTTGTTGTGTTGGTGTCCAACTGGGTCACCCACAACTCTTCTCACAAATGCTTCAAATTCATGTAGGACACCAAATCCAGCGATTGTAAAAGGGGCCTTGTAGATCTTGTAGGAAGTACACTTGTTTTACATCAACCATCAGGACATATCAGGACCATGCGTCAACATCGGACTTTTGCTCCACCCCAGTTGATGGATTTCCAACCTTCGTGAGGAACAGGAAGGAAAGTTATGTGATGTCCAGAATGAATTCCGAAGGTCTGAACACAGGGCTGGCACGCTGACTTTGTTCCTAGTAGCGTCCTTGCTCCTAATAGCGATGCCAGGAGCCCCTAGTAGCGTTCATGCTCCTTAAGGAAAGGTGTTGGTTATTTGCTGATGTCCATACCTTTTGCTCCTTCAGGCTTTGACGAGGATCAGGATGGCGAGTGGTGGCCACCGCCTTTGACGGAGCAAGATGTGGCGACGCGCCAGCGTGCCACACGGCTCTTGCAGGTTGGAAGTGCACACAAAAGGACATGGAATTAATGATAATTAATGCCATGCTGACATACCTCCACATTAGCATTCCAACATATCTTTCCGGTAACGCAATTCCTGGGAGGCGATCCGGCAAATACCACTGGTATACTATGACATCAAGGCATGGGAAAACCAGCATGAGAATGTCTTCTCGCTCTTTCGACAAGGCAGGAGGGCAAGTGTCACGATTGCACCACTGCATGTATCGTGATCTCTTCTCACACTATATTCACACATATTCACACGATCCAATTGTATCCACCTTGAGCACTCAGCGTTTGCAATTTTCAGGATGTTTGGATGCTGCGAACTCCAACATCCTCGAAGCACCTTTATACAACAATCGGCAAATTGAGGATGCCTGGCTCTTCTTGTTGGAGATGAGACGAAGGCACAAGAATCGAGGGAAACACGTGCAAGAATGCGCTCGTGTTCTTGGTGCTTCCTACAACTGGTCCATTGTGCTTCAGGGTTCCAAGAAAGTCCTGGAGGCATTGAATGACTTGCCCCAGGAGGTTTGCACAGAGATTTTGGAAGGTGCAGATGCGCATGAGCTGCTCCGAAGTATCTACCCGCAGCGACGTCCAAGACGCGATGATTGGATGAACACACCCAGCAGTTTGCCTGCGAATGGCTGGAGTGACTCAGACCCAAGCTGGATGGGGAAGGACACACCCAACGGCGCTGGTACTCGTGATGCATGGCCAGATGCAGCGTGGCCGGATGCGGGCCGTACAAAAAACCCCTTCAAAGCAGAAGGGGTGGCGACAGAATGGCCAGATCCACCGGCTCAAGTTCCACAAACGCCAGGCTGGGGGGAGGGCAAGGTTGGTGAGTACTGCAAATTAGCTATATACATGGTATGATTCTGACGAGAAACGAACTCAAGTGGAATTGTTGTTCATACATTCATAATACTATTTTGACCGAAACCTTTGCAGTAGTGTTACAATTTCCATAGCGCTTTGGGCTACAGTATCCTCGTCCTCAAACCAGCCTAGGTCAGCGAGACGTCTTCCCTGGTCCGACTGGTGGGAGCTTTGCCTCTGTTTCTTGGCTTTTTGTCTTTCTCCTCTTCGTACGAGTATATCTGCAGATTTATCCACCAACAGGACCAGTGAGCCACCAGACATACTGTCGCAGGACGAAATCCCGTACCACCTGCGATGGGTGGACAAAGAATTGACGGTGTGCTGCGAGTCTTAGTCTTTTTTTGGGCCCGATGACCTCCAACCTAATAGCGATGGCCTCCAACCTATATAATAGTCTTAAAGTAGGTCGGTTTAGAATTCCTCCAACAGTAGTTACAGACAAAATGATTACACAGTGGCCGACGCGATCCTTCTGGGGGTGTGCCTTCCTCCACACAGTACTGGGCAACTCTGACTTGGTGGACCGACTGCAATTGCTGTCACCAAGGCAGCGGCCATTCCTGACGCTTGCCGAAAACACTTGAATATCTATTATTGTTACTAACTTAATCTAACTTAAAACCATTGTTTGTTCTACACACTTCTCTCAAGGACAGGCAGTTTCTCAGTCGCAGGGATGTTTGCCAGCTCGTGTATATACAAGAAGCTGCAGCGATTTAGAGCCAAGGAGAAGTCAGCTTTTGGGAGGCACCGGCTCACGGCATGTTGTGATGTCGTTTGGAGGGAGGCACAGCTAGGCAGCCAAGTTAGTGCAGGTTTCAGGTTCCACATGATGTTGAGTGCTAGACCATGGCTGTTGTTGTTTTCTGCTGCTTCGTTCAACCATGTTTTGGGTTCCTGTAGCCAGCCATTGCTGGAAATATACTCAGAATCCTAGGTTGTGACTTGTTCGGAGAGAATGTCAATTGAAGTTCAAGGAACATACATTTTAGATCAGAGTAGATATCGAGTTATTCGAGTTTGTTTGCTGATCTGGAGTGCCAGGCCAGATACCAACCCCTTTCGCAAGGAGGCCTCGCCGAAGAGCGGCAATCCTTTCAACGCACTGCGCCTAGTAGTTTCGTGCTGTCTTTGTGACATGTGCGGCATGTTTCGTGCAGTTTTACAGCTTTTTCAACAGCTCCCTAAAGGAACCCTGCTTCACCGAAAGGTGGGCCAATACGGTAATCAAAGTACCGTTTGTTTTCGTTGATTTCAAGCACCAGCCTTCATTTTCTTCCGCCCATGTCAACGACCTCGAGGACCCAAACACAGCTAGCCACGCACCTCCCAAGTGTTGTGAACAAAGTCTGGCAGTTCTTGGCTTAGCCGTGTGCCATAGCGCAAGTAGAATCGGATGATCAGTCTGAATATCCCACTCTCCACTCGTGGTCAGTCACAGAGTGCCAAGTTCCCCTGCAATGACTGTCTCGAAGCCAAAGCCCGCATAATTAACTCTAGCGGGGTACACACACACACAGCAGGAGTGTTTTTTTTTTAGTTTGACGGGGTCACCGGGTCTCGTCGGTGGAAGCGTTTTACTTTCGGCCACGCGTCCGATCCGAGCTGATCTTGCCCTTTGTTCCTACTAGCTTCTTGTTACTAGTAGCGATGCCAGGAGCCCCTAGTAGCGTCCTTGCTCCTAGTAGCGATGCCCTTTGCTCCTAGTAGCGTCCTTGTTTGTCGTTTGGTTTTCCCATTTTGTGTGATTTTATTGGATTTCGCCGACTCGCCTGTGTTACTCCTCCGTTTGATCCTGCATGGTTGTTTCTTGGGGCTACTTGGACTTGGACTGTTCATATTTGCACGCGCTTCTGGACTTCATTTTGGGATGTGCCCCTGCATCCACGCCGTGGCCGCTCCAACTCCTGCCTGTTCGTTGCTCCTACGAACTTGGATGTTTATCATGGACTTCGCACGAAAGAGTGGGGTCTTCGAGCTTCCAAGAAATTGTTTGATAGCTTGCATCGCTGGGCTAGTTGGGCAGGAAGTTACCGGCATCAAGCAACCATGCGCCTCAAAGCGGGGTTCCCCATTATGTAGTTACAGAGAATACGACTATATAGTAGCCGACGCAATCCTTCTAGGTTTTTCCTTCCTGCACACAGTACTGGGCAACTCTGACTTGGTGCACCGATTGCAATCGCTGTCACCAAGGCAGCGGCCATTCCTGATGCTTGCCTTGAACGACTTGAAATATCTTGAAATGTACTTTGTTACTAACCTAAACCATTGTGTTTTTTTTTTGTGGTTTCCACACACTCCTCTCAAGGGCAGGCTGCTCCTCAGTCGCAGGGATGTTTGCCAGCTCGTGTATATACAAGAAGCTGCAGCGATTTAGAGCCAAGGAGAAGTCAGCTTTTGGGAGGCACCAGCTCACGGCATGTTGTGATGTCGTTTGGAGGGAGGCACAGCTAGGCAGCCAAGTTAGTGCAGGTTTCAGGTTCCACATGATGTTGAGTGCTAGACCATGGCTGTTGTTGTTTTCTGCTGCTTCGTTCAACCATGTTTTGGGTTCCTGTAGCCAGCCATTGCTGGAAAGATACTCAGAATCCTAGGAATCCTAGGTCCTACAGTAGGTTGTGACTTTTTTGGAGAGAATGTCAATTGAAGTTCAAGGAACATAAATTTTAGATTCAGAATAGTTATTCGAGTTTGTTTGCTGATCTGGAGTGCCAGGCCAGATACCAACCCCTTTCGGAAGGAGGTTGCGCCGAAGAGCGGCAATCCTTTCCACGCACAGCGGATTCCAGCGGGCGTGTGAAAAATGGTTCGCAGAACATGCCTTTGCTGCGTCAAACCTAGATTTTGCATGCCCAGTATGTAACCATATCAATAAGCTTTACAGTAGTATTTAGGCAAGTGCTGCAAGACTTGCCAGGCACACTTGAATTGGGACTGCTGCTTGTTTAGGACTACTGGCAGCCACAGTTTGCTGTGGACGGGTATGGCTGTTGCTTTACAAAGAAGGCCAGGCTTTACGGCTGGCACCTTTTTGACTGTCCGAGTTGTCGATGAACATGGGATCAACATCAACATCAGAGATCACCTAACCTAGAGTTTATGGATCACCTTGTTCACTTATATTATAGCAATGGCCTCCAACCTTAGTAGCAATGGCTTCCAACCTAATAGCAATGGCCTCCAACCTAAAAGCGATGGCCTCCAACCTAATACTCGTAGCGATGGCCTCCAACCTAATAGCAATAGCCTCCAACCAAATCGCAATGGCCTCCAACATAGGATAGAGATCACCCTGTTCACTGTTCTTTGATTAACGTTTGGTCACCTTGTGCCGGTCAGTGGATGTCGCTGGTCAGTTTGCCACTTGTGCCCTCAAGGCATCTGGCTCTGGCGAGGGCTGCTTGCTTGCGTACAAAGAGAAGGCAGACCGGGCAGATTGCAGATACACGAGCTCGGTCTTTGGTGAAAGAATCATGCTTGCACAGATGCACGCAGATCAAAACTACTCAAGGCCGGTGGTAAGTGCATTTTCCTGCTTGTCCGTAATGGAGTCACATAATACATGGCATTCCACCAGTGTGACCACTGTTTTCAGATGTTCTCAGCTGGTGTTGGACAGACTCGTGGGCACTTGAAGGATGCTTTGTACTGCGAACGAAGTCATCAGGCCTTTGAGCTTTTGGACCTTGTGGAGCTTCCTCTCCGTGAGCGACCCAGGTGCGGTATGGTGGACATGATAAGCATGTTCAGGATGTACTTCAGGGTGTTTCGAGTAGGCTCGATCTCGCTGTGAAGTCAGCAGTGATTCACACTGCTCGTAAGACACTGCATGGAAGCTTCAGCCTTGGGCCAGGAGTGGAGTCGTCCAAGTGGCAGCCCGTGATGAGGCAGAAAAGACCATGCAGCAGTCACGTTTGAGACCTGCAAGCCATTTGAGCAAATCACAAGCACTGGGCATGTAGCTTGCACTTGAATCACATTTGCCTAGTTTCAATCGCCCGATTGTGCAAATGGCCCAGGCCGTCAGATTGTCCTCCGCCGACCTGGCTGTCGGCGCTTTGCTTGGGCGTCTTCCGGCAAGGAGCCAAGCCAGAACGGCTGAAAGCCAAGAAATTGCAGGTCTGAAGGACCTTTGGTTGCTCGGGCATTTTTTGTGCCGCATTAGACTGTGAAAGGTAATGCAGGGTACCCTGCAGTCAGTGCAAGACAATACGTAAATCTTGTTGATTTTGTAAGAACCCACTGGGAGACCGAATCCGACGATCTGATCTGCAGCTGGTTTCAGAACAGTCTCATGTCATGTTCAAACTTGTCAAATTGTTTGGAGCATGGTAGACCCTGGTAGACCAAGGCGCTGGAAGACGTTTTCCCAAGGAGCAACCCTTAGAGAGTTAGTTATACATACATTTATTTGTGTACATAATATTTACTGTTTGACCGTTTGGTCGGGCCTTGCGTGGACGTTCTCTCTATGATCTCAACTCACTCTATCTCACATCGCAGTTTGACTTGTGTTTGGGCCTTTCCTTTTGCTCCATAGAGAATGCACAAGGATGGTTTTGCGTAGTGCATTTGAGCCTTTGTATGTTCGAGGCTAGGCACTGTTGCCCAGCTGGCTCTCTTGAAGAGCAAGGCCAATTCTGTTCATTTCGTGTTTGCTGTGAAGTAGGGAAACTGGCGAAGAACGCCTCAGCCGCTGAGCATGAAACCCTCAGATCCGCACGGCCAGTAGATAGCTCACTGCTCAATCAGGAGCCCGACGGGCGTCTCCTTCTGGTTTGCAATACCCACTTGTACTTTGCCAACTTCGCAAGGCACCGTGAAAAAAGCTTCTTCAAAACGAGATCGATGAATCATGTAGGCTATTACAGGGCATCTTCTGTTGGTTGAGTTCATTCGGTCGGGTTTTTGAAACCGTCTTGTTGCTGAGGCATATCCGAGTTCTACAGGTGGCTCTGATCCTTGATGAGGTACCAGAGATGGTCCAAATCTGGCATGGAAACACATGGTTTAGAGATGGCACAAACATCCAAATCATTGGATACTGTACCTGCAAGGCGGAGTCTATATGCAAGAGAGCAGAGTTTGAGTGGAAAGCTCAGTCTTTCGCCAAAGAGTAGCAAGTGATCGAGAGATGTTCAGCAATAATATATTATATGTTCATGAGACAGTTTTGCACAACGGAAAGAACTTCCGCTTGTAGGTTTGGCCAGCGGCCGGCACTACTCTTCCTGGGTGACCTGAATAGTGAGTCTGCAGCTTCACAGACCATGGATTCAGAACACACCAGTTCAGTAGTTGACAGAAGGCTTCTTCTGAAGTCATGCCTGCTGAGACAAGGCCGGACACTGGCGCAACTGCACTCCTGCAAGGCGGTGTTCTTTGCCCTTCTTGTTTGTTGCAAAACACCGCATTGTGGAATTGCAGATCAGTTAGAGAAGCGTTATGGTCAGTCTGCCACAAACTGCAGAGCAGAAGTTACCATAATCGGTTTTCTACCTTTGAGAGACAGTGTGTGTGTGTGTGTGCAAGTATACAATTATCAGCTAAAGCCTTGTCTGCCCGCCCAACAGATGACAGGCAGCGTTTCCGCTGCGCACCCAGACTGGGCCAGGTGTGCCCCATTCCGCTGGCGGCTCGGAAGCTTCCGCTGGCAGTTTGAAGTCTCAATGCGTCAAATTAACAAAATGTTAACAGCTGGCATTAAGATGGGGAAGAACATAGAAGAACCTACAGTAGTTAGTCATTGCAAAAACCCTGTTCGAGCCAAGCTATGGATTCGTTTGAGCACATGTTTGACAGCAAAGCCTGGATCTCAGGTTGGGGCTACGCATCGTCCAGACAAGCAGCAAAAGACATGCTCACCGCTTTGAGAACCAAGAGGTGCTCGAGTTGTTGAACATTGCTCCCACATTGAAGACCACAACCATTCGGTTTCTCCATCCGGCTGCGAACAAAGCCACGTCCGTGGGTGAGGTGGGTTGCTGGCCCTGGCCGACAGATTGGAAGTGGTGCCCCTTTCCCAAATCAGAAAATGGGTTATTTGATGTGTTTGTGTTAGTATTACATGTCCTTTGCCTATGGGGCAATGTAAGCCTTTGCCAATTGTTTGTACATTCCTCATTTGTCAACGATCTGATGTGGTTATATAGATCCATTAATATAATTATCACGAGGTTCCACGCAAGGCCAGAAGAAGCTTCTACTGTAGGGCCTAAGGAGCAACTGCCAGGCCAGAAGCCTATTCTTCTCTTGGCGATGAGACGGAAGAGGCAATCAGCGAAATCATGCGAAATCTGTTGAGGCGAATGAGTCCCGAATAGATGACCTTAGATTTCACCAGGATGGCCTTGACGGTCTCCGCTGCAGTACAGAACGGCTGCAACGTGTGCGTTGCTTGGATGTGTTTAGGAGCAGATTTGGTGCACTGGAAGCCTTTGCATACCTGGAACCATTTGCATACCTGGAACCATTCGGGGCTTGTTGCTTGAAGTATGAGGAAGCTGCGTGTTGTAGGTCTATGGCTTTGCAATTTTCGAGTTGTGACTTGTGATCAGTTCAAGGTAATTGTTTGGCAACTTTGGGTATCGGTGAGCCGCAGGAGGCCTATGCCGTGCCACTTAGAATAGGTTGTTTCATAGCTTCTTGGAAAGAGTTTGATTGCTTGCAGCATTGAGTTTACACGCCACTGCTGCTAACTTAGAATATTGCTTGGCTGTCAGGCTGAAGAGGAAGCACCAGAGGAGCAGTACGATCAGGCAGATTCTGTGGGTTCAACAAAATGGAGCTTGAAGCTCTTGCAAGCTTTTGCACGGTTTGTTGGATGCTTGACATGTGTCTTGCGTAGACTTGCGATATGTGCAATATGTTGCGAGTGTGCCAATTGTCATCTTGAAACTGTTTGAAACTCGAAACCAAGCAAAAAGAGTTTCAATGAAACACCAAGGTGCTCGGATCAAGTACTGACAACTCACCGTGGCCTGGTGCTTGGGTCAATTCATGGCCACCAGACATCTCTGCGTTTTTGCATGGCACACGGGACGGTGCTCCAAGGACATCGTTGGAGCAAAAGCTTCAGGCTGGCGGGACCTTCAAGAACTGCGAAGCTTGGCAGAACAGGACATAGTTGGAACACTTCAACAGTTCTTCAACCTCCTTTCTGTGAGATGTTGTGAGATGCTGTGCGCATGGCTCCAGCGACACAACAAGACTTTGAAACCTCGGCTGCTTCATGCTGCGCCGAAGGGCTTGATTTTTTTGGGAAGACAAGACATGCGAAATGTGTTTGATTGTTGCGCGCTGAAGCGGGGGGGCTGAACGCTGAACACAATTTAAGGCCGCTGTCGCCACTGCACAACTGGCAGTAGACCTACAGCTCAGCACTGAACCTGTGCCCTTAAATTCAGTGTGATTCAAAAGACCACTGACAAGACGGCCATAAGAACCCTTCAAGACGAAAAGCCGCGTACGCAGTTCAAAAGAAGTGTGTCAATTTTAGTGCCCAAAGCAAGCTGCTTACATGCCACATGTATAATCATGTATATTGTTGTGAGAGAGAGAGAGAGAACTCTCTTGTAACTGTATGCTTTTGATTGCTTTTGTCCTGTCTCTTTATGTCATTTTCAGGTACTTGAGTTTACCGATGAAGACTTGGACGCTGCCAGCGACTTGGGTGACTTTGCGGGATCTTTGCTTGTGCCGGATGTTCTGAGGCCAAAGATGCAGCAGAGGCTTTGGCAGAGGCAAGGAAGCAGGGTTTGAGCTCCAATTGATTAACATGTAACATATAGATCAAGTGATGCAGTCAGAAAGGCTCATATATTTGTCACTTGGTAGCAAGCCTGAGGTGGTCGGGCAGAAGATGCAAGCTGCGGTGAAGAAACAGCAAGTGACTTGTTGGCAGATTCGGGGATGCAGTCTCAGCTGAGTTGCCAACGGCAATTCCTTTCAGCCTCAAGTTTGGTCTCAACACCTGACCTGTATTGAGGCTGTGGCAGAGATGGTGCTAGAAGAGAGCGATGTTGGACCTGCTTTGGCAGGCCTTTTGACGGGTGTTCGAGGCTTGGAAGAACAGAGTAAGCATGCAGCTTTGATTGCAGCCAGGCTTGGGCTTGCAGCTTTCTTCTCCTTTCAAGCTGTCTTCTGCTTGTCAGCCGGACTTTACAAACTTTGTGGGTTCCGGCCCCAGAGAGTGTCCTGATGTGTCCGGACAGTTCCTAGTCTTTCAGAAATATCTTGAGATGTGCAAATCTGATGTAGGACCGATATTATGATATAAGTGTGTGTCTTTTTTAATCATAATACGCATTGTCATGCCAGGTAACTACGAAGCTTGTCTTGCCATTGTCTTAGCTGCCATTTGAAAATTGGACTTGACACATTAAGATTGAACTTGTTAGATATTCATGTTAACTCGTGGGAGCTTGCAGCTAAGCACCAAGGATTGGATTTTCTTCACCGAGGAGCACTTGGAGAAGGCGTGTTTCAGTAGTTTGAAAGTACCGAGGAACATCTCAAGAGATCCGTTTCTCGAAGCATAAGAGTTTGTTCAATTATTGTTTTCTCGGACCTTTTTGGCTGCAGCTTCAGTCGGATGTACAAAGTAGCTGTCTTTGTTTCCTTTGAGTCTTGACGGCCAGATTTCACATAATTCTGCTACTTGGGGGAGTCTTAGCCTCACGGAGCACTTGAAAAGGAGACTAGGCTACTGATACGCACCGCAGAAGTTCCCATATACGTGTATCAACACAGTCCTTATGCCATCATGAAGTAGAGTAAACATGGAGAATTAGGGACATCTCGGAACGACCGCCTGCTAGACTTATTTCCTAATTTGTTTTCTCCAAAAAATGGCTGTTTGATGCCTCCAAATCTGTTTTCTCTTTGTTTGGTTTTCTCTCGGCCACTCTTTTCTCCACTCGATGTCTCTCGGCCGCGCTCGCAGGTCTCCGAAGCGCCCATGCCCAGCCGGGAGGCCGTGGCCGCTGAGACGGCCCTGCCCTCGCAGCGCTTCCCCAGCGACGCAAAGCGGCAGAGTGAGCTTTCGTGTTTTTGTTTTTTCATTTTTCCACTTGGTTTAGTAAGCCCACCCTGGCTGAATCAAGTAGGTGCCTACTCAAATAAAGTAAGGGCTAAGTATGCTACTAGCTGCTGGACGCAGGATACCTCACGCTTCCACTATTCTTTTCGTTCCTAGATTTGAAAAATGATAAAGAAAGAGGCAGCCGGAGAGTCTAGGACCTAGCTCACAAAGTAAACATTTTTCAGGTCCAGGATTGAAATGAACGGAAAGGGATGAGATCCACAATGAATACGACTTGGGGATTGTTGCGGATACTGTACCCAAGTTGCAATTGGACTTTCTGTTTGACAGAACTTTTGGGTCCTCCATTTCATAAGATGAGCATGATGCTTCATCAGCTTTGGCTTTTGCTGATAGAATCAAGCTTCGTCTGCTTTTATAATGCAGTTTTTTTGTGGAGAGGTGTGTTTGCCCTTGCTTAGCAACTGAACTGTTTGTTTCTTTCCCATGAAGCAACGCTTAGGACCACATCTTGCTGGCCACTGATTTTGCTTGGAGAAAAAAGTTGAGCTTGTGTTTGGTCTTGGGCATCGATTGCATCGAAGCATGTTTTTCCAAAGTGCTTTTGTTTCTAGTAGTAATGGGTATATATAAGTCCAAGACTTGAGAAAGGTTCTATCAGGAACCCTGAGATCTGAAGCCATTCGCAGGTGGTTGACGCACCCATTGGCCGTGATCCTCATTCGTGAGGGGCCAAAATGCTCAACCAATGCATCGGAGTTGAAGGGAATTCTTCCGGAGTCATTTGGTCTGAGGGATGACCCTGTGCGCCGTGCAGTGAACCCAGATGGCCAAAGCGCAGCCACACGCTTTGAGGCCTGTTTGACCTGTTACATGCTGAAGTCTCTTTGGAGTCTATCAGTGAGAGCACCACAAAATGGAGTAACGAGGGCCGGAGAAGACCTCACAACATATGTCAAGTGATTCATGGGCAAGTTATGAAGTTCATGAGCTGATGAATGCTCTAGGTGCTGGCAGGTGCAAATGGTGCATTGCTTCTGGTGACACCGTCTTGTTGCATGGGTTTCTAGTTAGGTACTCGCCACGCGGACTTGCAAGGAACAGATCAATCCAGAACAAGGATCAATAAGACAGGTCCTTTTGAATTGTGCTTCTCAGCAGAGCAGCTTTGGCTTTGTCATAGTAGCTAGCAAACGACGCGATTGCACACACTCAGCGGATCTCAGAAGTGCAATTGTTGAGTCCTAAATACAGCAGTCGAAGCATTGCCCAAGAACTAGTGACTCCAGGCGTGCATCTTGGAGAGGTCCGGGCGAACACATCAGGTGATGCCCCCCCATTGGAGTGAAGCATAGTGAAGCCGTTCGAACGCATTGTGCATTGAGACCGGAGTGAAGACTCAACGTCGCAAGCTTTGACATGGCATTGACATCGAGTCTGGCAGGTTGGCATTGATTTTGGTATCTCTAAAAATGCAGCTCTATGAGCCGCTAATGTCACATTAATTATGTAATCAGATTGCAGCATAGAAGCTTTCAAGCCCATTGGATTGCTGCATTCATCATCCCGTGCCGCTGATCACTTTCCTTGCTGCCAGAATGTGGGAGCCTCAGGAATTTTGGTTCAGGGGCTCTTAGGTACATGGCCTTTGCAACAATGGATTTGCGGGTGGTGTTTGCTGGCCTCAAGATTGGCCTCTGCAAACGATGGCCTCTGCGTTCTTGGCGTAAACGTGTCGCCAAGGCGACCTTGGCCCACACCAAGGCTTCACCGACACCGAGGCGTCGGCCAGGGCTCGACTTTGATTTCTCGTTGCCACACACAGTCACTCATTCAGTCTCAAAGAGTGATTTATGTGGACCGCAGTATTTTTGCTGTTCAAAGTGCACAAATGCATCATGGACCAGCGCAGGGACGCGGTGGAACATGGCATCATGGCTTGTGACATGTAGCATTGTATTGACCGTGATCCTGAGCACTTTGATAGTTGGCGCAGCTGTCACATGCGTGGTGCGGAAAATCTGGAAATCCGGCAACCTGGTTTTGGTCATACCAGAGCTAGTGCCAGAGTTGGACCAACCAAAAGCAACTTGGCCGCCACCAGTGCAAACACCGGTCATATGGGCACCACCAATTCCACCAGCTTTGCCAGAGTCACCGCTGTCACCGCCACTCTATACTCTTTGTACACCGATTTTCTGTCCAGGTGACCCAGAGCCACCGATTCAGCGTCCATGTGGCCCTTTCAACCATTTGCCGGGCCGGCGTTCTCCCAGCAGGTTGGGGCGCCTCTCTCTTTCAGCACCAGACTTGTGTCAAGTACAACCGAAGCTTGGAATGCCAATACGACCAATTGATACCCTGCAACCAGAGCTCTTCTTGCCTTGTCTTCCTCGGTGCATCATCCTGCCAGTGCCAGCAGTCCGACCAGTAGAACCAGCACGACCACTGCTGCAACCACACCAGCCTGCAGAAACACAGTCAGCCACAATCCTCCCACCATCATCATCGTCGAGGGAACGAACGCCAACGGTGCCACTGACAGGACTTCCTCCGAGGGACTCCGGGCGGCAGCAGCACTTCAGACATGCAGGACAGAGACAGCCACACATGCTGTTTGCGTTGCCTCACTTGGTGCCCAATATTCCGACAAGTGCACGCGTTGTGATACCACAGCTTGCCTGGGTGTATCGCAATCCGGGTGTCCCACGCGTTGGCAGACCAACTCTCCAGTTGCAAGGGCCAGATTCACCAGTGACACAGAGAGCTCCAGGACTGCTCAGAGAAACAGAGAGAGCTCCAGTTTTGCCGCGGCCATCTCCAAACCCACCACAAGGGGGACTCTACCAGCCACAACTGCGACTACTACCGCAGGATCCGCTTCCACAAGATTTAGCTCCAAGGCGAGAGGCATGTACCCTGCATTTCCAACCTATTCCTGAAGCTATTCCTGAACCTCCCATGACAGTTGTCATACTCCCACCACCAGACACACTGCAACCATACATACCCTGCGAACCACCCCCATGCCACCCACGATCTCCAAGGTGTTTGCCAGAGTGGTCTTTACCACAACTTCAAGCACCCATGTGGCCAATGTCACCAACGCCACTCCAGCCTGCAGCCACGGAGAGAGCGCCAAGATTGCCAGACAGAGCCAAGGTTGCCATTCCAAAGATTATGTTTCGACCAAAGTTGCCGAACACGACTTGGCTCGACATGCCGCGGCTCCCCAAGACGTGCCAGAGTACCTGCCAGTGCCCGACGTCCCCTGTCAACCGTAGACAGATGTCAGCTTTAGGAGGTTCTTCATTGCGAAAGGGAAAGCCAAAGCGAAACAGAAGGGTACCTCGCCAGGGACCGGTGACAGCTCAGGACAGTTCAGACTCACGGACCGGTTCTGAGCTGACCGGTGGTCCCTGGATTCCCTGAGCGACCGGGCGAGTCCCAAACGGTTCGTGCCGTTGCAGTGCCGTAGATTCCAGAAGGCTTTGCGAAGAGAGAGAGATCAGATAGATGATAGGAAGGTAACGGAAGTTATGAGCAGATTCAAAGCAATCAATCTTCCGAGTTGCCTTTTGCCAACTGCGCTGACCACATATTATATACAGTATTACTAATTACGGTTTAGATGGCACAGTTTCTTGGTTTCATTGATACCTTTACTTGCCATGTCATCTCAGTTTCGAGCAAATGGTAGCGGCCATTGCCGCAAGGACTTGTTGCATCCCCAAATGGAGATGTAGGACATGTACATTGCCCATGCGTCAAGACGGCGCAGAGAGCTCGATAAGACGCGAGCGGAGAAGCAAACGATCGTAAAAGTCAGTTGGTCAAGTTTGATGTTTGTTGCAGGTGGCAACGGAAATCCAGGTTCAGCAGATTCATGTTTGCTGGAGGTTCAAGGCGTAGCTGAGGATCTTGGCATGTGTTACCTCTCCTACATGGTTTGTCTTCTCTACACCCTCCTTATCTCTCCTTCTTCTTTTTGTTCGAGTCTTTAGAGCTGGACAACGGTGACATTGGCTTTTGTTGGCGATCTCACTTATCCTGTGAAGCAGAGAACTTGTCGTGCCATGTTGTACTATTCTAGAGTCAGAGTGTAGAGTCTTGTGTAGAGACAATTTCAGAGCTGCAATGCAGTTGCATCGTGGCCTGGAGGGAACCTGCTGATACGACCTTCTTCACAGCAATAGGAGTTTTGCAAGCTGCAGGAGATGGCAAGAGGCTCAGGCTTGCGAGTTGTTCTACAGTTACTGTAATATGACAGATGACATAATCTGTTTGTGGGTGGGTTTCATTTTAGGAGGGCGAATCTTCTTCTCAATTCGCCAACTGCCCTTTGTATGACTTTGAAGTTTGTTGAGTCTTACTCATGCTAGCCATTCAAGACAAACCATCAGTTACTTCTTGGGAGGCTCGCAAATCAACCCAAACCAAACCAGTGTTGGTGAAGCCTGGACAGTTTGCCATGGTTTCAAGAATTCCCTCGGACGTAGAACCCCCCTCCACGAAAACCAAGCGGCTTAGACCATATTTGGGTCACAACATGCCACTACATGTTTGCGAATAAAAGATACGGTGCGGAAAGATGTCAAGAGCTTTTGACACTGATGAAATCAATGTCACCGGAAAGTGTACTGCTGGATGTTAGCTGGTTCACAAGGTTATTTACAAGTACCGCACTCGAGAGAGTGAACCGCATAGGTTGTGGGGCACTTAAAGCCGCTTGCAAGAGTATGAGAATAGCACACAATGTGTTTGCATGACAGACTATAGAAAACATACAGGATGATCAACCATACCACACAACAAGGGAGAACACCCTTAAGATGTTGTGTGAAAGAGTCCGCGAGAGGCGATGCGGTGAGCCTTGTGTATGTTCGACTTAGCACAATCTCGCCATAGAGCATGGACTGGAGGACTTGCACTTCTAGTTACTGTATGCCTGTAGAGAAATACTTGGGGCAGGTGCTTTTTATGGCATTCAATGGAGAAAGGTGTCATTGACCATTGATCTTTTCCAATCCGCCAAAAGAAAATGCATTGACAATGTACAAGCAAACCTCACATGCTCCTGCGCCAAAAGAAAGCTGCTGTCGTGTAAGCGCAGTGAAAGTGCACATGGAAGGCATTTGTTGGTAGATTTTAGTAGAAAACCAGAAAGGAATCTTGCCTAGGTTTTGAAGACCACTCAATTGTACATCGACCCCCACTGGTGTTGAGCAGCACCTCTCGGCATTGTTTTCTCATGGCAAGGCCTTAGGCCATTTGTCCGACAAGTCCAATCATTTTCTTTGTTATCCAGAGAATGCCTGACCGGACCAATGAGCAGGATGCAAAGCATTCCTAACACATTGAATGAACTACTTGAAGACCTCACCATTTGAAACATTGTGAGGCTTGCTCAGGTACGCAAGCACAATAGACTATGGTCCGCCTCAAATTATGAGCAAAAGAAGGTAGCGGTTTGTGGAGACGGCCTCTGGCCTCCAGAGGTCCCCCAAAGTCCCAAGGCAACCAGTCTAAGAACGCCTCAGCAGAGTGAAGAACCAATGTTGGATGAGTCCATGTGAAGAGTCTAAGGTGAAGAGTCTGCCTCTCACTGGATGAGTCGGGCTGCCATGGGAGGTGCGATTCAACGGGCAAATGTTGAAGCGAGGAAACATTTGCCCTTTCGGGAGATCCTAAGAGCAGAGATCTCATCTGGCACATGTTTGAGTTGGAACATTTTGACATGTATGCCTAGCATGTTTGAGAACGCTTTGAGTTCCATTCAGTTCCATTTGAAGATTTTGAAGAGTACAGGGAGGAAGGATTTGTGGGTGGCGATCCTTTCTTCGGAAGATGGGAACTTGAAAGCAGCAGTGTTCATATACACCGCAGTGCTTTCGCGGCTCAACATCAAGGAATGCAGGACCATGTTGGACACACATGTTGATACTCCAGGAGCTCGGGAGAGAGGAGTTGCAAGATGGCCTCGTGGATTGTGACATGCACAATTGTGCTGTCCGTGATCCTGAGCACTCTGGTAGTTGGCACAGCTGTCACATGTGTCGTGCGGAAGATCTGGAAGTCAGGCAACCTGGTCTTCGTCGTGCCTGAGGTGGAGCAACCAAAGGTACATTGGCCGCCTCCACCACCACCTGTGCCACCGACAGTATTGCCGCCACCAGTGCGAGAGACTTTTTTTTTGCCAGCGCCAATTCCACCAGCCATTCCCTTTGAACCAACTTTTTCAGTTTTCCCCCTTGGCAAGCTAGAACGGCGAATTCCCACCCCCCCCGGGGCCGTTCAACCGATGGAAGAGCAAAGGTGCTCCAGGCGACAAGCTGCTCCTTTGTCTTCGCGCTCCGAACTTGGCTCAACCACCGAAGAGGAGTGGCAGGCCCATTCGACCAATCCTCATGCCCAAGCTTTTGCCGGCTGTGGTCAAGCTCCCGCCCCGAAGGCGAACCGTGGCCCTGCCAAGAGGAGAACCGTGCCACAAGAGGTGCATTATGAGAGAAACAGAATCACCAGCACAGCTCTCAACACAACGTTCCCCAGCTGGACAAACTGTTGTGCCACTTAGTGGTCCTCGGCCGATTGATACCTATCCACACCGGCCCATCAATCACAAAGGTAGCCGAGAGCCTTGGATTCTGTTTGTGGTACCGCAATTGATGCCAATCATTCCGGCTGCGGTGCATTTACACATCATCTTGCAGCATCCAGCATTGATTTGCAATCCACACGCCTCGCAAATAGGCAGAATAGAGATCCAGCCTGAAGGCCCAGATGAACCTCCTTCGAACACAACCGTTCGATTGCCAGGAAAAACGGAGAGAGCTCCTATTTTGCCACAGCCATCTCCAAATCCAGTCCAGGGATGGTTTTATGAGCCAGAACCACGATTTTTGCCAGCTGAGCCAATTCCCCAAGTTTTCTTGCCCCGCTTGATGGGGAAAGTGCTCATTCTGTCTGAGCCTACACCCCAAGTGGCCATTTGTGTCACTGAAATCACAAGTACAACCTCCACACCCTGGCCCACACCACCGCCGAGGCCTTTGCCATGCTTGCCGGAGTGGTCAATACCCCAACCCATGGCACCAGTTTGGCCCAGATCACCAATGCCAAACCAGCCCATAGAAACAGAGCTAGCTCCAGGACTACCACTACACGACACACCTAGGATCGGATATTCCCAGACTGACGCGAGATTTCTCCCTGCAGAACTATCTCCAAAAGATTTGGTGCAGCACGCATTAGGAAGTACAGTTGTTCTTCCACTAGCTCCTCTTCCAATTCCGACTCCTCCACGGACCGTGACAGTCACTGTCACGCCACCGCCAGACATCTCTTGCATACATTGCATTCACTGTCCGACACCAAGGTATATGGAGTGTTTGCCAGAGTGGTCAATACCCCAACCTGTGGCACCAGTTTGGCCCAGATCACCGATGCCAAGCTATCCACTTTCCACAGAGCCGGCGCCAGCATTGCCACACCGAACAAATTCGCAGATGAGGCACGTACATTGTTCACACCCGAACCCAGATCTGAATTTGTTGTCGGCAGCTCCAGTTGGAAGGTCGTGGCTGCATGCACTGGATGAAGCCTTCATTCTACCAACAGCTCCAATTCCTCCACCTCCCATTCAACCCAAAATCGAGATTGCAGTAGACACCGTCGCACCCACAGGACCACCATGCCCAGGTTTAACCATACCGCCCAGGGCACCAACAGCCCCTGCCATTTGGACTAGGGCACCAACACCCAGCCCAAAGGTCCCAAAGACCTCCCCATTCAACCCATGGGGATCGCCAAAGGGAAAGGCCAAAGCACGGAAGCAGAAGCATCTCTTGCCACCAGGCGATTGCAGCGAATCCAGACATCCCTGGAACTCGTCCACGAAAGTCGTGCCGCCAATGCACAAGTAGTGCCTGGCGAGGTCCTCAAAGCTTTGTCATACCAAGCCATTGGTCAGAGAAGATAGGGAAGAGAGTAGAAGAGTCGCAGGTAGGAGAAGATTTGAACGTACGCGAGATTCAAAGCAATCTCGTGAGCTGCCTTTTGCATGGGACCCGACCAAGTACGTACTGAGTCTTTGAAGTGTTTGTTCATGCCATGTCCAGTCGGAAGCAAAAGGCAACCACTGTCTATAAGGACTTGTTGCATCCCCAAACGGAGATGTAGGATGTGCAGTCGTGTGATGTCATGCGTCAAGATGGCGCGAACTCTTTGAGGAACTAGCCCAGCAGAATGTGATGTGTGCATATCTCATATCACTTTTCAACTGTTTTGTTTCCCATGCTCGCATTATACTGAGTAATGCCATGCAATTCTACTGTACAAGTTTCAGAATGTGGAGCGTGTAGGTGCCAAGAGATTGTGTCCAACTCCTTGTGAAAATACCTTGCGGCCATGTGCTCATGACAATTCGTCGCCCTACTGTGCTACTGACAATCCTGCACAGGTTCGTTCAAATCCTGGAGTCAGGCCGGCATGTCGTATGTCGTGGCTTCATGCTGACCCTAAAACGCATGCAGTTTATGTAGATCAAGGATCCTTTACTACCTAAGGGCCACGGCCACAACAAATGTTCTTGGAGTTTGCTTAAGTGATCTTAAGTGTAATACTTGAACGTTTTTGCGGGATTGAGGCTCATCGGCCTAGGCATGCGTGGGGGTTGAGACGGCAGTGTGGAATGACCAGGGTTTGCCTTGGGTCAGCATCAGTGAAACCCCATGACTAATTATCCTAAAGGTCCTAACATATCCTAAAATCTTCTTTACCCAACCTACCGGCTGAATGGGTGCATTTTTGATGGTAGAGAATAATCCAAGACAACTTGAAGACTTGACTTCAAGATGTACACTACACAGTCGCAAAGCCTCAAAACGAGAAGATTGCACAGTCAGGTGCTTCTGCAGAGGCAAGCAGAGGACTGGGCACAGAGAACGCCCTTTGTGACAAAATCCTCGACCACCTCAGACAGATCCCTGGGACACCCGATACCAATCAAAAACCAAGCTCCCATTGTCAAGAGTCTGTCATGAGACGAACATGTTTGGTGAAGAGCGCCAGGATCACCTTGCTGTGTTTGACCTCAAGCCATTTGTTGGCTAACTCCGGGCGTCTTCTCCCAAGAGCGGCCTGGTGGCTCCCGAAGCCTTACCTTTTCAGAGAAGAGCCATGGAGAGTTGCGGTGTAACGACCGGATGCTGCATATGTACCATTACCCTGATCACCGTCCTGGTGATTCTTGCTTGTTGCGGCATCGGAGTGGTGGTAATACTCCTTCTCAGGTCAAGGGAAACAGTCGTGGTACCATGTCCGCCGCCACCTCCGCCTCCAGTGCCAGTGTGCCCTCCAATTTGCCCTCCACCACAATGTATGCACATTGCCAACCCGTGCATCAGTCACTGTGTTGAACCAGCTCAGGTTTGTGTCCAGCCTCCAGTACATCAAGTTTGTGTCCAGCCTTCAACAAGCCACGTTTATGCCCAGTATCCAGTGGGACACGCTGGACATGCTGCGGTGGTGGGAGCTCCCCAGTGCTCATGTCGACACTGAGCGTATGCAACCCAAACCGAGCTTTGTGCATCCTGCATGGCACTGTGAACGCATGCTGCGCACGTGCTTCAGAAGAGCAAGTTTGGCACAGATATGAAGGCAGGCCAGATGCGAAGGGTTTGTAAAAATGGGAGTTTGACAAACTATGACAAACTGTGTTGTTGTGTGTTTTAGTTTTTTCATAAACACATATGTTGTTTATATAATTGTTATGATATGATGTATATACTTTAATTACTCTGATTCGCAGCTGCCGTGAGTTGTGCCATGATGTACAGCCCAACCAATTAATGCGCCAGAAACGAAGGGATTGCAGCAGCTGTTGCAGCTTGCATGAAACTGGTATGTTTTTGGTGTGCATTTTTGGGGCTCACTTCTTGCAAAGCATGAAGGTTTGTTGCCCTGCCAATTCCTCGAAGAAGAACCGTGCAGATAGGTGACGCCAGAATAGTGCTGCAGAGCTATTGCAAGAGCTGAACCACTTGGTTTGCCGGAGATCATGGTTTCAGTTTTTTGCTGATCTATGCTTTATGTGATTCGAACGCAGCGAGTGCTGGAGCCCCCTTGTGAAGGTTCATGTACGTTCTCAATTGAGCGGACTAGTGACTGGTGCCTTCCAAGGAGCGCCAGATTCCCTCTCCGCATCCAAGAAGCGTGTTTGTTGATAAAAGACGCCCTGAACTCCTTTACTTTGCCGTTGCGACACCTTGGACTGTATGCAACATGTACGGTGTAAGCCATGTTGCATCATCATTTCATCATTTTTTGCAAATCACGTCAGTCAGTGTCTCTTTCGTCCAAGCAGCGATAGGATCTCTCACGACGTGCATTTTGGTCGAGGCGCAGATTGTCATCTTGCTAGAAGCTAGCACCCCGGTGCGCGGCTAGCAGTGCGGCTAGCAGATTGGGAAGACGAACTTCTTATTTAGTCTGGTAGAGATTGGTCATCTAAGAAGACTGTGGAGCCATTTGGCTCAATGAAGTTGGGAACCTTCGATTCTCTGAGGCTGCGCCCTTGTGGGACACATGTGGGCAGATGGCGCTTTTGAGCACCGACTGGATAATCGTGTTTGGAGTGCTGACTCTTTTCATCGTTGGTGGCACTGTTGCAGTCGTGGCAGGTAGATATTCTCGGGCGCGGAGTGTTGCAAATGTCCCACCAGCCAAAGAAGCATGGCCACATACTCCACCACCAACTCCACCACCAACTCCACCGCCGACTCCACCGCCGACTCCACCGCCACTGGCAATCACACTCTTCCCACCAGTTCCCATGCCAAGTCTTCCGCCACCTGACCTGCCTGAAATACCAGGACCATTCAGTCGTTTGCGCCCAGCTTGTGTCCCCAGCCTGCCAGTTTTGTCCAACCAGTTCCCAAACTTGGCCGAACCGCGCTCATTTTGGGCAGATACGCTTTGCCGCTGGGTTGAGCATACAAGTGCTCCAAAGGAAGCACCAGATGTAGCAGGCATTCAGATGGATTTGCCTCAGAGTCCGGGAGACCTGCTATCTTCTGTAAGATTGAAGGTGTCTCACAGAATGTCCAACTCAATTCAAAGAGTTGTTGCTTTGCCACACCCAGATTTGCTGTTCCCATGTGTCGCAGGTCCTCGACCGCGCCGTTTGCCAGAAACACAAACAGCAGTCTTCCACACGCCACAAACCACAGCAGCACGAGCCAACTTCCCAGCTGGAACGGATCGTTTGATCGATTGCAATGGGCCGATGACGCCGATGAACTCAAGGGGCAGGGTAACTGCTGATCCGGAGCCATTTGCTCATTTCCCGCGCTTGGTTTGCAGAGTCATCAAATGTCAATGGGCTCATCGTGAAGAAAGACCCGGTCCCACAAATGAGTTCAATGCAGATGCACCAAGGGTGGGCAGAAGAGAAGTTAGCTTGGCCGCCCCAGATTCATTTCTCGAATCGCAAGAAAGACGAGTGTTGCCGCGCCAGCCTCCAGATACCATGCAGAATCCCGTTCTCCAGACGTCAGTGCCACCTTTGAACGGGCGATCCTCCGGCGAGGCAGCAGCGTCCCTGGCTGATCGCACTCCAGAAAACCTGATCCGTCGCGCCTCGAAAGGGCCGCGCAAGGCGCCAGTTCAACCACCTCGCCGATCGGATCCGGTTCCTGAGGTTCCAACCCGTGCGAGTCATGTGGAACGGTTGCTCCCACCAGTGGTCATCCCTTCGGTCCCCACCCCGGCCTCTTCGGCGGCACAGGTGCCATCGGTGCGGACCGAGTTGCGACTGTTGAAGCTGGTCTTAGACTTCCATGGCCAGACACCGCAGCTTCCAAAGCAGACCCAAGGAGCGCCCAAGCTTCGAACGCCTCCAGAGAATCCGATGATTGGAATACCGGGATGCACCATATGGCCTCAAGTTCATGGTTTCTCATTTCCGACACCTGGACACAGACTTGGTCACACATTTGCAAGGTGTCGAAGGGCGACCACGTGTTCATTTCCAACATGCGGAGGCCTTACACCTCGAGTGATGGAAGTGCCAGATCCAGTGTCACAGCCAAAACCTGCAGTGAAAGCAAAGACGCCTGACACGCCCAAGCCCAAAATCATACCGAAGAGCCATACCAAGAAAGCCTCCCTTTCCAAGCGTGGGCAGTCGACCTCAACTTTAGGAGGTCCTTGGTGGCAGAAGGGAAAGGTAAAGGCCAAGGCTGACGGCTCACGGCCTGATGAAACATCCTAAGCCCTGAGCGGCAATGACATCAGGCGGTCCGAATAGCAAATCTCAAAACTAGTGGCGTCGCAGAAGTAGGTTCGCAAGAGGTAAAATCCTCAAAAATTGTCGCAGAGCTAGTACTAGGAACAGGTAGAAGATAGGAATAGATAGGAGATACGGTCAATGAACGATTCAAAGAAATCATCCAAGCATATCCAAGCTGCCTTTTGCTTGGGCCAATTAGGCCAACATAGCTTGTGCTGATTTGGGGTTGAAGCATTTCTTTCAATGGTGTTCACAGCGCCTTTGTTTACTGGGCCTTTTCTCTTGCCTTCCCAAAAGTTGGATGCAAGAGGCAGCTATGACAGTCAAAGAAAACTCCATCTCCAAGAGCAGGTTGTGCGCCAAGAGGGCGCAAAAGAGCTCATCATGAGCCACAAATATTGTGCAAGAATCATCAAGGAACACGCTGAAATAGATTTCTTACTTGATCTTGGGATTTGCGATGCTTGAGGCTTGATGCCAAATATCAAGAGATTGCTTTCCACTGTATTCGACCCTGTATCATGTCACGCAAGCAAACAAGGCCCTGCCACAACACTTCATCACACAGACCAGACAGGGTCCTGGGACGGGTAAACTTGAGAGATCTTTCTTGGAGTATTGTTTGGTTAGAGATTGACAGTTCCTGCATGTCGATGAAGTTTGTGAGCAAGCCCATGGAGAGCTGCTCCAATCCAATCTTGTATGAAGGGCTACACTATTCATACAAATTCATCTGTATATAGCGCCATCCGCAATCGCACCCAGTTGACAATTCAGGGTGTTCTATATCATGGGATCACACTGCACCACAAGACACTGGATGACAGACACAGCACAGCACCATGTACCATGTCATGGTCCGTTGCAACCTGACACCAGGGTTACAATGCATGGAGCAGAGCTTGCTCACATATCACAAGTCTGCAGGAATTTGTTGCAGCCTCTTAATAAGTAGTATGGTCCAAGCTGGATTGCACGAATGAATGAACACTGTCTAGGCCAAGACTAGCCTGTTGTAAAGACTTTGTGGCCAAAGCCTGATTCAGTAGCAAGGTGAAGATCTTCGTGGTCCAGGGTAGCTTTTGGGTTGTGGTGCAATCAACACATGAATATGTGAATAGTGCTCTGCATGAAGTCATGTATGCTAAGCGAGTCTTGCAAGGATTGCCAGTTCCTGGATGGTTCGATTGTGGAATTGCACTCCGGTTGAGCTTGGCAATGCCACAGTTTCGCCTTGTCCAGGGAATTCGGAGGTTTGCAAATCCAATGTACAAATCTTTGAATCAATCGTCTTCAAAGAAGACATGCCTCGAAATTGATGCGACCTGCGAAACAGTGAAGCGATTGTTTGTTGGCTTGCTCGAGTGTTCGTTCGTTGGCCTGATCTTGCTTAATTACTGTTGTGGAGAAGGACTTCGTTGGGTTGTGATGGAACGAATGTACAAGGGTAAGATACAGCATAGTGGAGAAATGTGGAGAACACCTAATGGTTCATGCGTGTTTCTATGACATGTGCAGCCCTGCAGGCTGCAGGCAGAGCTGGTGGAAGCTATTCTTGACGTTCTCTTGGCAGAAGTGTTTCAGTTATACTTGTACCCACTGTGTGCATACAAACCATGCGCTGCTCTAGCAGCTCTAGGTGTCTGGTGCATGGTTTTGGGTTTGCTTTGGCCTGTGATGTCTGAGGCTTCAAGCCCAACAGCGCCAACTCAGCCCAGGCACAAGCGGCACAAGAGAGCAAAAAGACTGCTATTAGCAGATACTCCCTGTCGCCGAGCTTTTTTGCTGTAAGTCCTTTGCCGTCTATATAATGTTTGGGCGAGTCATGTCTACAGAGAAAAAAGTGAGGTCGAGGATGGCCCATGTTTCAACCGGAATACTACAAAAATGCTTGGTGAAGGAGAGGGTCTGCTGTGCAGCAGCCAGGGACTTCTGAAAGAAGATGTGCAGGCTGTGCAGATTGCAGCGGTCACAGTTCTTGAGTTCTTCGGTATTGCCAGGTCTTACTCATTGGGAGGTGCAGGCGTTGCCTCTAGCAGAGCTCCACAGGAGGCCATGCAGAAGTGGGAGGAAAGACATGAAAACTGCCAACGATTTGTCAGGCTCAGATCAGTGGATGTTTCCTACGACCATTGTCTTGAACGCCAAGAGCTGGAGGAGTTGAAAGGGAGCAAAGCGGAACCTTGAAAGCACTCACAAGTGCGAATACATGTTTCATAAAGATCATAACGATGAAGCTCGCTTTGGTTCAACAAAGATGTATATGGTAGAGATGAGTGGAGAGGTTGCCCCACCAATAGACACTAGATGGTTGCAGGCTCCGACAACTGCTCCAACCGGTGTGAAAGGTTTAAGTCAAGAACTTCTTCAGCCTTATTTTTGTTGTGGCTTGTGAAACACTGTTCCCGTGCCTTCTGTGGTTGGCTGGAATGACAATGTCAAGTGTCCGGTCCATATGACAGCTCAAAATGTTAGGTATGGATCAAATTGCCGGGCCCACAAGCGATCCGTAGTCCCGATCCATACCCCTTAATCCATACCTCCTGGTAAAGCACGCCAACATGAGTGGCGTTGAAGCAGCAAAGTCAACCCAGAGGAGAAAAGAGCCAACCCAACGTATCCTTTGTCTCCCTCTTATAGCCATGTTGATGGTAGCTGCCCACAGGACATGGTGGCTACAGCCATCAGGACCAAGAGTCCTAACTGACGCAAGTGTAAGGCTCAACAGTGTTTCAATTTCTTCTTAAAGCAGAAGGCATGTAAACATGGTCACTTTGAACATGCGTGGCATAGGCCGAACAACCAGACGCAGAAGTGGCGCTCATTTTGGCTAGTCTCACTGTTTGTGCGCGATGAGCCATTTTGGCTTAATCAAGGCAGTGGTTATGGATGCTGTTATCAATCGTGCTGAAGACGATGCCTTCCTCTTGTGGCACAAGTCACAGGTACGCAAATGGCACTTTTGAGCACTGACTGGATCTATGTCTTTGGGTTTCTGGCTCTTCTGATCATCGGTGGGACTGCAATAATCTTGGCAGGTAGATTCTATCGGGCAAGGCATGTTGCTGTTCTTCCAACAAAAAGAGCATGGCCACCGTGGTCGCCAGCACCTCCTCCACCTCCAAAGGTGCCAAAATTTCCACCACTACACCTGCCTGGCCCAGCAGGCCCCTCGAGTGCTTTGCAGCCAGCGCGTGTCCCAGAACTTCCAAGTTTGGCATGGCATGTCCCGAATTTGGCTTATCCTGGGGCACCTCCACTACTTTACTGTGCACATGTGTATGATGATCGAGAGCAAAGCTCAGAACCAGTGTCAAATCATTTTCTCAGGCACATGCAAACAGCCTTCTTACCAGCCTTCCAGAGTGCGCTACACTCAGCAACAGTGCCCTACAGCATGGACTGCATCCTTCAAGGATGGATCCAACCTTCACCAGATCCATGGCTTGTCCCAAATCCAAGCACACAGAGCACACAACCACCGTGGCAGCCTTGGCAGGTTCCACCCATGTCAGAGGCAGTACAGTCAAGTCCAAGTGCTCCAATCCTGGTGCACGCAGCTTTGCCAGCGATGGAGTCGGCGCTGGCGATGGAGTTGCCCGCTGTGCACCGGAAAACCCTCAGAGAAACAGCAGCAGCACCGGTTCTGCAGACACCATCCACTGCAACACTACGACCTCCGCTCTTGCAAGATGGGATAGATCAGCTACTGGATTGCAAGGTGCAAGAAGCACCAAGAAACAAAAGAGCAGCTTCCAATCCGCAATTAGTTCATTTACCTCGGTTGGTCTTTAAGATCATGCAAGAAGAAAGGAGATGTCGACAAACACCTGGTCCAGCAGCAACTTTCAATCCAGATGCGCCAAGGATAGGGAGAATGGACATCCGACCAAACGCGCCAGATTTCTTCACGGAATGGCAGCGGCAACTGAGCACTTATCCGCCAGCTCGACGCCAGCCAGGAGAAATCATTCCTCTTCCTGTTCTGCTGCAGCCACCTTCCAGTTCCATCACACCACCTATGACAATCCCAAGATCGCTCCCAAACGATCCCATTCCACACAGTCTAATCAACCATCCCAACAAATCGTGTCCAAGCTCACTGGATCGCTCACTTCCAATGCTTCTTGAGCATCCGGATCGGGGCCTGGCAAGCTTGAGGCTTTGGACGGTAGCAGCTGAGCCACGTCCTCCGAAGCCATGGACGATTCAACCAGCGAGCACAAGACCATTGGTGCCACTGACAATGCCAATGATGGATCAATTGTTCCACCAAGGATGCGTAAGGAAGACTGCAACAGCGCAGCTTCCGGCAGAAACAGAAGAAGCACCAAAGCTTCCAGAGCCTCAAACAAATCCAGCAATTGGAACTATATACCCAATACTGCATGGATGTGTACCTGGATGCAGAGAGCATGGTTCTTTTTCTGGATCAGTGAGCTGTGCGCGATGCCCAATACATGGGCATGGAGCCATACCTGGGAGGGCAGAAGAATGTAAGTGTGAAATGCAGCATGACATATTTCAGGATGTACTGATACATTCAGCCCCAGCCGACGTGTCCACTCCATGCAGAATGCCAAAGACACGGATCAGCCTCTCGGGCAATGCCAGGACGATCTTTGGTCACATGTGAGCTGCTCAATGAGCGCAAACCAGTAAAGGAAAGCCAATGCAGGACAAATGACATGTCAGACGGACGCCAGGCCTTTTCAACTGACCTACATCAAATTGGTGCCGTTGCACACAAAAAGATGTTTAAGCCAAAGGCCAGGGGAGTTGATGAAACAAATGCATACTCCGAGAGAAAGAGACAAGAACAGACATCAATCCGAATAAATCAAGTTGTGCTCAAAGAAGCATTTTTCAGCCACGGATGGGGTCAATGCAACCCTTTGATCATTGTCCAAGCGTCTTTGAATGTTTTCTCCTGAAAAGAAGACTTCGTGTGAGGGAGAAGGTGTGCTGCAAGACTTCTCAGAGGGATTTGCATCATTGGCTTCATGTGTTTCCCCCTTTCATTAACACTTGGAGGACGCTTGAAGGTTAATGTATGTCAGGATCAGGTACACCATCCTGAAGGGATATGTACATACCATGCCCTGGTTCTGGCGTGCCAAGACATGGCTTCAAAGAAGGAGCTGCGTGCGAAAGATTTCGCTTGTGCTGCGCAGCAGTCGGTGGAAGAGGGCAGCGAGTACCGTCGTCACGGAGCGAAGAAGCCCACGGAGCTCGAAAGGTCGCCGGGCATCGGAACTGACTCGCTGAAGGTGCCGAAGTTGGTTTCGCCAGACTGTCCATCGGTCCGTGTTTTTGCTTCGATCTTAAAAGGAAAAACCGGACGCTACTAGGGGCTCCTGGCCTTACTACTAGGAGCAAGAAGCTACTAGGGGCTCCTGGCATCACTACTAGTAACAAGAAGCTACTAGGGGCTCCAAAAAGAGGTTCTGGGGAATCCACCGGGCGACCAGGTAGCGATCTTGCGCGGCGACTTTGGCATACTTTGGCTGCCGGGCGCTAAGCAACAAATTTTCATGCGCTCTAAGGGCAATCGTGCGATGGGCAAGTTCAGTGCTGGTGCTGGCATTGAATCAGTGGGTTCACTCTGACCTCGCCTTTTTGCCACAGGCGAAGCCTGGAGCGAAACTCTTCGGAGGAAGCGATTCGCATGTTTTGAGGCATTGGCACCGAGAACCAATCGAACTGTTCCTTTCTTGTGCCAACGGCTTGAACAGACCAGTGTCTTTTCGATTTGTATTCACTTGCCCTCAGTTCCTCTTTTGGACCTGTTTGGCACCTTTGGCAAGTCTACAGCTCCTGCGTTTTGCAGCCATTTCCTTTCAAAAGTCCGGAGAGAATGGCGGGCGCAGTGGTACGTTGCGGCTTTTTGCAGCTTGCTGCAAATGGTTGAAATCAAGTTTGAGATCCCGACAGACCCAACAAGCTGGATCATCGCTACAATCATCCTCTTTGTTGCAGTTTGTCTTTGTGTCTCTATAGTTGTTGCTGCAAGATGTGCCTGTCGACGGTGCAAATCGCGAGTTCAAGACTCGCAGCACTCACAACCAACTTGGCCAATGTCACCGAAAGCTCAGGCGGCTCGGCACGCACGGACGAACCGTGACGTTCCAAGCCCGACACTTTTAGCCCCCCAATTGTCACCATCACCGATGCCATCACCTCTTTCTGCTCCACCCTCTCGACCAGTTGGAATCGACTCCATCGACAGATGCGGCCCACGATGCACAGCACCACCACATCCTCCTTTCGTGCCCACCGACTGCGGTCCACCGGAGCGGTCAGTTCCACTCAACTCGGACACTTTTCACCCGCGACCACGGCAACTGACCGACACATTCGGCCAATTTGGGCCACAGTCAACTCCACCTCCTTTCCCACTCTCGCTGCAGGGTGGACTACAAACCTTCCCTGACCAGCCAACTACGAACCTGCCTTCTTTGACTTCTTGCTGTGCGCAGACAGCTGCAGAATGGACTTTGCCCATGCGCATTCGGCAAGAAACACCACCCTGGCACCCACACCCAGCAGAACACCTTTCAATGAGCTCTTGTTCATTCACAGAGAACCAACCCCGCCAACCAACCGAAACACAGCCTGCGCCAAGCCTGCTGACACCTTCTTCCCCGCCTTCGATCCTGCAGACCGATTCCATAGTAGCGATGAACCTACAAAGGCAACAACACCAGATGTCATACGACAGGATTCGGCGCATGGAACAGCCGTACGACAGCATTCGTCCGTGCCGCTGGGGCTGAGGCCCATGCCCATCAAAAGCTGAGTGCACAGGCACTGGATTGTTTGAGAAAGCACTTTCGACACAGATTGAACCCCTTGTCACTTCCAAAGATTTCAGTTTTGCACCAATGGTGTCAAGAGCTCTGGCTGAAAGGGCCAAGATGGCTGTCCCGATAGATTTCAGCAGTGATCAGGTCGATCACTGGACTTTGAAAGGGGAAGGGATGCCGCGCATAGCGGGCACCGCATCTGAGCGTGGAGGCTTGAAGGCACCGCTCCGCAAATGAACTGCAGACAAGCAGGTACAACACCACGTCTGCATATTTTTGAAGGGTTCTCTGTCAAAGCACAGAGCCAAATGTCACGCAATCTACTACTGTTACAT